AAAACTTACGAGTCGAAAATTTTCGCAATACTGTCCCTTATTATATATTTCATATATAGGCAAGTGAAAGTAAAAATGGTATAAATTGTTCTACAGATGGCTCTATAACTGCTAAGCCTATGACTCAGGAGCAGGCATCTACCGAAAAGATAACAAGGAAAAAGTCTAAATACCTCTTGGCAAACACGCTTCGGTATTTCAATCTGAGATACAAGCAATTTGCCATTGCGCTTAAAACCTACTGCTAGGCAAAGTGACTGGGATAATAAGATAAAAAGATAATAATCTATACTGACAGTCAGGCAGCAATAGGTGCACTAAATAATTATTATGTATACTCAAAGGTTGTTAAAGAATGCAGTATAGCACTTAACAATCTGTCTGAGCTTAACAGAGTTGCAATTGGGTGAGTGTCTGGTTCTTTGCAATGAAGAGGCAGTCAATCTAGCCAGGTTAGGCTCATATACTATTCCCGTAACTCCTGAATCTGTTTGTGGAATCAGTCTTAGCACTGCCAGAAGAAGGATTAGGGAGTTATATGGTGAAAAATTTAAACAATACTGGAATGAGAAGAAACAACATTTGAAGCTATTCCTTAAAGGTCCATGTGATAAAAGAAGGAAGCTGCTACTGAGTTAGGAGAGAGCAGCTCTCAAAGAGCTTACAATACAATGATCTACACTGGACTGGTCACTGCAAGTTAAATTATCACATGTTCAATCTCCGAGTGACCACGAACCAGCAATGCAGATTCTGTCAGGAAGAGCATGAAAAAGCCTTTTACATCGTTTGTCGATGTGATAGGTTTGCAAGATTCAGGCTAGAGCTATTTGGGGAGGATCGAGTGGATCATCCAAGTAGCTACAAGTCTATTAATCCGATAAGCCTATTAAGATATGCGGAAGCGACTAAACTAACGTGTTAGGAATAAAATAGTGAAAGTGATAGTGAATAAAATAGTGATATATATAATATATATATATCGGCCTGATAACTTCTTTTAATCAAGATTGTTGTATATATATATATATATATATATATATATATATATATATATATATATATATATATATATAAATAGTGGAGGAAAAAAAAAAAAATAAAAAAGAAGAAATCAAACTCTAATAATCATGATAAAATAAGGTTGTGAAGCCGATGTATTGGTCTTTGCCCTGAAGGGGAGGGCCAGAAAAAAAATTAAATAAAAATTTGTCCAACAATATATATATATATATATATATATATATATATATATATATATAATATATATATATATATATATATATATATTTATATATATATTTTGGATATTGAAGCTGTAACACAAGCTTGCCACTGATATATATATATCAGTGGCAAGCTTGTGTTACAGTTTCAATATCCAAAACAATTTCATTACTCCTTAAGAAGTAATATTTCAATAAATAGAATAAACAAAGAAGGAATTAATTATAATAGAAGAGCAATGACATTATTATTAAATGTCATAGGCGGTGAACCTTTTTATCATTAAAGGACACAGTAAGGTTAGATACCGATAATGGAGGCAGCAATAATTTTTTGTATTTACTGCTGATATTTGTATTTATTAATTACTCACTTATAAAAAAAAAACCTGTACCACTACAACCCATGAAGGGTCTGGGGTTCAGTACTATTTAGGGAAAGTACTGTTTCTAGGTCAACAATTGTGCAAGGAGGTGATTTGACCGAGATCACGCTCAACCGCCAGGTTTTCCCCCTTAATTAATTATTTAATTAAGGGCACCCACATTATAGAGGCTGGGTGTGCCCCAGGAGGATCTTCCAACCCAGGGTCGCCCCACGGCCAATGAAACAGATAAATAAATTTTCTGCCATGAGCCAGGGTTCGAACCTGGGACCTTTGGATTGGAAGCTCAGTGCCCTATTACTGAGCTACCCCACTCCCCTTACTTACTCACTTATATTTTACTTTATTCTATTTATTTTCAGCACTGGATTATTAAGTTCATGCAAAAACTAATGGGAGCTGCAGCTAGCTCACGGAGACAATGTGCGACCTCTAAATCGCAGGTTCTCTACCTGTGCTATATGCATACTTACTGTAATATACCAAAAATTCTTCAGTGCCTATAGGCACGGAATAGTGAAAAAAACAATTATTTAAAACTAAAAAGTAGTGAATTGATGAAATTAGTTTCACTACAGGAGATATTAAATTGAATGTTATCACTGTAAACTATTCATTACAAGCTAGAATGATTCAATATTTAAAAACCAAAATGGAACTATTAAATACTAACAAAGAAAAACACTTTAAAGCAAAATAGATCAAAACATATAGGACAAGTATTTAACATTAATTTCAATGACAATATAGACTGAGGCCAATTTAATAGGATGAACAATATAGACTGAGGCCAAGTACTAACAATTAGCTCTACTAAAACTAAGCAGAAAATATTTATAAAACTATATAAAAACATACAGAACATTCAAAATAAATATTAAGAAATATAAATAAAAGAACACACCAAATTATTCAGGAACTCAATAATAATAAAATAAAAAGTAATAATAAATACAAAAATAAAGAATAGGAATATTTGATGGGTGAATGCTCAAAGACCATAGAGGAATTCTCGACAACAAACCATCAGATACATTGGATCGAACATCAAATACTAATACACTGTCCAAACAATATTCAGCTGTGTTCTTCATTATCACTAAAATTTAATATTTCATAGCTGTAATATAAAATGACTGTAAATCATACTCACTAGATGACCTATGGATTTTACGCCTTTAAACTACAACAAACAAAAAACATACTCACTAAAATTAGATATGGAATTTCTGTGGGAAAGTTATGGTAAAATTATATGACAAACAGTTATAACTATTTACAGAACATGGACAATCTAACACTAACATTTTGATAATACTACAAACACTTTCATCTACTAGTCACTGAAATTTAGTAACCTTTAAAAAGATTATTATATACTTAACAACCACAGAACAAAGTTAACAGGTAACAAAATCTACATTAGTGAATAGTGCTAATTGCCATAAACAAGAAGTATATAATATATATACACTGACAGGCAAAAAATTCCACCCACTTGATTTTTTCATGTTTTCATCTAAAAATATTTCTGTAAAGTTGTATTTGTATATAATACATGGTATTTGTAGATAATACTTAGTATTTATGGAATTTTATAATCATTTTTACCTTTAATAATCAAAATGTGATTGGGTAAGAAAGATTAGAGAAAAAAAAAATTGAAAAATGAACCATTATTATTCTAAAAGAAATTAATTACATCATCGTTTAGTAGCGCGTGTTTCCTCCTCTTGCCTTCACTACTTCTTGAAGACGCCTCGGCATACTTTCCACCAGTCGGGAAATGTCCCTTTGCTGGAGGATAGCCCATTCCTCCCGAAGAGCCCTTTCAAGGTCCTGCAGTGTATCAGGAAGTGTTGCACGCGCTCTTATTCGTCTTCCGAGGTTATCCCATAAATGCTCAATGGGGTTCAAATCTGGAGAACGTGCTGGCCAGGCTAAAACCTCAATATTGTTCTGTTGAAGGAACGTCTGCACTATGCGGGCGACATGTGGGCGTGCATTAGATATAGAACGATCGCCGATTTCGTTGAGGATAGGCAACACATGAGGTTCCAAAATCTCATCTACATAGCGAATGGCCGTCAAAGACCCTCCACGAACAACAACCAATTCTGTGCGGCGCTCCATTGAAATCCCAGCCCACACCATTAAGGAACCACGTTGGAAAGGTTGGCTCTGGGAAAAATTACAGGCTGCATATCTTTCGTTTCTTCTTCTCCACACCCTTTCACGCCCGTCTGGAGATCGAAGAGCGAATCTTGACTCATCTGTAAAAAGTACAGCACTCCATTCGTCCATAGTCCAATGGCTGTGTTCTCGAGCAAAAGCCAGCCGTGTTACTCTGTGAGTTCTGGTCAACTCTGGTCCTCTTACTGGACGAAAAGCCATTAATCCATACTCATTTAATCTTCTCCGAGCGGTACGTTCAGAAATTTGCACACCTCGAACTTCTTCGAGCTGATGAATCGCTTGAACAACGGTAAGGTGCCGGTTTCGTAAAATTCTCAAAGTCAAAAACCGGTCATCCCGTGGTTCTGTTACCCTAGGCCGTCCAGAACCGGGCCTTCTATTGTAAGAACCAGTTTCCCGAAAACGCCTGACGGCGTCTCGTAAAGTTTCATATGGAACTCCGATGGCATTAGCTGCATATCTAATGGAACGTCCATCATCAATAAGTGCCACACCACGCGCAACATCCTCAGCACTAAGAGGCATTTTTAAACTTAATATTGAAAAAATTAAAAGCCGGAGACTAAGAAATGTGCTGCAAGAAACGGCACTGAACTAATGATACTGAATAAACATTTTGATTCCATAGAAAGTAAACATTGGAATCTAGAATCATTTCATTGAATTAAGGATTAAGGGTTTTTGTCCTCTATATTAACATTCCTAATCAAAAACAAACAAAAAGATTACCTATTTAGTCATTAAAAACAATAGACCAATCCAAAACAGAAATATTTTTAGATGAAAACATGAAAAAATCAAGTGGATGGAATTTTTTGTCTGTCAGTGTATATAAAAACAAAAAAAAAAAAAAAAAACTGCAAGGATGATGATAATTTTTAATAAGGTTCTGAAAGACTAGAAATTTGTTGATAATTTATAACTTGTACTAAGTATACTGCATAAAGTAAAGGAAATCAGCTGGTAGCAGCAAAAAATTGAGATCAATGATGAATAATTATAAAGGCAACAAAAACCAACAATTTGTAGTCAATTTATAAATATGAATTCTACACAAGCTAAATATAACAAAGAAAAGAATAGAAAATAAGGAATAGATTCAATACTACTACATTAAGAGGCAAAAGATGACAAAAATTTGACAATAGATACTAATAATGATATGTAATTAGCTATTGATATATAAACTTACACTGATTATCCTATGCTGAACTTGTTGTCCCGGCCTAAGAGCTGGCTGTGTGATAACCCTCATCTGTGGAGTAGTGGTCATTTGGATTTGGCCCCTTATCTGTCGAAGGGGCAAAAATATGGTACATTAGTCTGCTCTAGCTGAAAACGGGGCATACAATAACAGTGTAAAATACAAAAGTAGCCACTTTACTAAAAAAAAAAGATGACAAAAAATCTAAAAAAATTTAAATTCATCACTTTTTATTAAAAATTAAACATTTGTTTCTTTGTGATTAACATTATTATTTCGAAAGATTATAGATGAAAAGTGGCTTTAAATAAAATTACTCAAAAATGAAACAAAAGAGATAATGAAGATTAATACACTGTTGTAACAATATTTTAGACTGATTATTGATATATATATTATATTAGCTTCTGACTGCAATCCAATTCTGGTTGAAGATAGTAGTACTGTTGAAAATATTTTGTTTTATACAATAGTTATATAATTTACTATATATTATTGTTGTTTGTATTGCATATTATAATATTGAATAAACATATATGCTTTCTCAGCATGTAAAGGGAAATAGGAACCCTACATAATTACTGAAAGGTACTATTGAAGAATATAATTTTTATAGACATACTTCAAAAAATTTTATATCAAATAAATAACCTTAGTTCCTTATTTTTTTTTTATTTCTAATTTATACAAAAAAATGTTGTTTTTTTGTCATTCAGAAATAAAAAAAAACAATCATTGATTGTTATACAAACAAATAAACCAACCAAAACTTTATGCATTTCCCGTTTTTAATTAAATGTCATTATGTGGCAATAAATAAATTTACGAGGATCTCAAATGAAATTGATAAACAAGCATCAAGCAATAAATGACATGTTATTGATTGTTTAAGTTAAGTAATACAATCTTCATATATACTACAATAGTTTTTCCAGTGTTGATCCCTTTTCCGGCCTTCAGGTACGATCGACTTTGATGAATGAGGTATCAAATGAAAGGGTATTTCATAGAGAAGTGACAAATCTTGGTCATCTCCCTCCCCCTCCCAGAAATTTCAGAAAAAAAGTTATCAATTAAACGAAACTTTTTTTGCGAATAACTCATAAAGTATACATTTTTTCCCCAAATGCGACCATGATTAATTGAAATATTACTAAATTCTCTACAAAACAAAAAATCATAAAAGTCAATTAGAAGTTAGTACATTTAAAACAATTGGGAAACTTGTCTAGAATACGGTCGATCTTATCTTACGTCACATAACTTCCCTTCTTATCTCGTGTAAGTTCTAAGTTATTCCATTGTGTATTTTTGTTTAAATGGATGTTATTACATTGCAGGAATTGCCGTCATCAGAAAAAGAGGACCTGTTCCTCGCTATTTTAAATAGCATTAAACTATTTTGTCTGCCAAAATAAATGAAATAAAATTGTTTTATACGTACATATGTTGTTTATATAAATTATGAACGTATATGCGTTAAATTGAAGTGTTTTATATTTACAAAAAATATATTGTAAAATCAAAGTATTTTTTTATTATTACATTTTTTTTTGTCTATTTCATATATGTGTTGTAAAATAAAAGTGTTTTGTTATTGTTGTGGGAATTATTACATTCTTTTTTGTCTATTTCAATTTTCAAATCAGACTGTTTGTTATTATTACATTTGTTTTCGTCTATTTCAATTTCCATAAATATGAATATGGAGATAGAAATTATCAGTGTTCAGGTTATAAACATTGGCAGATAGCAGTCGATCATGACTGGATTCTAGACAAGTGCCTAATTGGTACCAACTGAAGGAGCAAAGTTAATTCAAATATTTTTTTTTAAGGAGAAAGGGAGTTGGGATTTATATTTCACACTTCGGAAAACCCTCAAATACAAATTTTCATAAAAATCGAAAAATAATTTTTTTTCCGGCAAATTATCAACTAGGTCCACCCATGGATATTTTTTTTTTAATCTTAAAAAATGTGTTAACTTCAAAATGACTCCCCTTATCAACACACAAAATTTTGCAGAAATTTAGGACCATAGAAATTTTACCAAATGACACAACCGAGACTCCTGTAAACATATTAAAAGTGGAGAAATAAAATAAAAATGTGTGAGGAGTTTTTACTTATTTATTCCTTTTGAAGGAGTTAAATATGAAAGTTATTTATATTGTCTTGAAGGGAAATAATTCAGTTCTCCAACAGTCATAGTAATATTGAATTAGGAGAAAATTCTGAGGTTTTGGGTTGTTATTATTATGAATGAACAAATGTGGTTCTTTGAATGAGAAAAAGAAAATTATTTTCTCACTATTTCATAATACAATGCATTAAGTTATTTCTATATTATATTGTCAATTGTTCTCATTGACCAATATACCACGCAAATTATTCACACGGGCCAACTAGTTAAACAAATGATAAGATGGTAATGCATAATATTGGGTTGATGAAAAAATAATGCAGGTTTTTAATATAATATAAAAATCATTAAAAAAAATTACATAAAAATTATGTTAGTCAAGAACTGTTCAATTACTGAGGGCAAAACTTAATTTTGGACCTTGTGAATTTGTAGATAAAAAATCGTATATTCATAGTAGTTTATTAAGAAAATTTAATTAGGCATTTATTGTACTTCTGCCACAATTGAGAAACCAAGGTTATATAAGATTATACACTCTTACACAAATCATCACGCAAGATTCATGATAATATTTACAACAAAAGACTGATTTATTTATTTTATACCCTGTAAATTGTGTAGATTGATCTAATGGTCACATTAGCAAGATAAGGGAGAAATAAGATAAATAAGAAATAAGTCAATAAATTCACAAGGTCCAAAATTAAGTTTTGCCCTCAGTAATTGAACAGTTCTTCACTAACATAATTTTTATGGTTCATTAACCGGACATGTTCAATTAATAAAAAGAACTACTATTTAAAATGAACCAATAAATATCACAGTAACTGCAATATAAAAATATTTTAAATCTAATCTGAATGGTCTGACTAAATTTGTAAAGTTACATGAGCTGAAAACAAGAACCCTCAATTAATGCTAAAATCTTAAAATGTCTGGAACTTTGTCACACTGTAAATGTTTAAACTGAATAATAAAATTACCTGGGCTGTAGTCGTCGGGGCAGATTGTATGAGGACTGAAGCTGGAGGAGGCCTGATCCCATCTATTATCAGCTCATTATTAACCATCGATTGCCTAAGGAGAGGTAAGCTTTTCTGTAAATAAATAAAAATATTATTAGAACAAAATAAACAACTATGAATTCATTAAAAAAAACAAAAAACAGAATTTGATTTAGATGCTTTCATCCACTGATATTTATAACTAGCAAATAGAAATAAAAAGTGAACATAAAAAATACAACTGACTACCAAGATTTTATTACAATCATTCATCATCCCATCTTTTATCAATGACATGTATTCCACAGGATTTTTTTTATGAAATAAAGGAAAGAAATTTGAACGATGTAGGCTACTGTCAAAAAGCTCCGTATACCATCAAGGCTGTCTTTGACATAATATACTTCGACTATCTATAGTAATGTATACTTCCATAGCTATGATTTTTTATTTTATTTGATTAACTACTTTTTTAAAGGTACAAAACCCATTTCTAGGCCTCTACCATTGGCCCTGACACTATTTAGCAATTTCGGTTTTTTTTATCAAATTTTCAACATCAATTTGAGTCCTAGTCTTATGAGGAACATATATCTATCCAGCCAAGTTGTGATCTCCCAACTTTCTTGAACTATGCAGAACCTCCTTCCATGGTCTTCTTCAGAGCCTCCATATCACTCATTTGAGTTACATAACACCTGGTTAAAACTACTGAATATAATACTTTTTGTTTGAGTAACTCAGTCTATGGATTACTTGACTCAGATAGGTGTTTATCAGTCATGGTAAAGGCAGATCTCAGAAGAAAGAGAATTAGGAATTACAGAAGTAAAGTTGAAGGCAAAAGACATGAGAGGGCTTATCTGGCCTCTACTAATAGAAAAATCTTTAATGTATAACTGCAAGTACACTGCTAGAAGCGAGAATCTCTAAGGACTTTGTACACAAGGCCTTGGCCACAGTGAATGCAACTGGTTAGAGCAAGAAAAGCACTAAATCAAACTGTAAGTCATTCAGGTAGGAGTAAATCAGAGACGTCACAAGCCTCTGGTCAGCAAAATATATTGTGGTGAAGTCTAATCAGTTTTTCTTGATAAATTGTTCCCTCTTGAATATTTTTTTATATTTTTAAGTAAGTTAGGAATATTGAAAAGTTTCCATCCTACAGCATGATGTTCACAATGGATGTTGAGTTACAGAAGAGAATAATAATTACTGCTTCTATAATAATACACAATATATATGGATATACTATACACTTACACAGTACGTAAATATATACTATAATGGAAAGATGTTTTCCTCAGACTGAGATAAGAAGCAACAGCTAATGGACTAATTATTTATAAAAAAAAACTTGAACCATTACAACCCATGAAGGGTCTTGGGTTCAGTACTAATTAAGGAAAGCACTGTTTCTTGGTCAACAGTTGGGCAAGGAGGTAATTTCACCAAGATCACATTCAACCGCTAGCTTTTCCTCCTTAATTAATTATAAGGAAAAACTAAATATAAACATACACATTAGAAAAATTATAAGTTTATTTAAATCTTACACACATACATTTTAACACTATAATGTAAGATTGTGTTCATGTGTGGTGGGATGGGCGAGCAAGATAGATCGGCAACATGATAACCAAGTTACAGAGGACAAAATAATTACAAGTTCGCGCCTTGTGCTGGGGGTCTTTTTAATTCTAGCATTAATTAAGCCGGCCATCATCCCCTGGACCGGGAAAACCTGTGTATAGCCTAAAAGGTGAGAACAAAAAAAAATCTGGTGCACTCATCACACAACTTTCACTTACCGCTCTACTTCGAAAAGCAATTCTTGTCTGATAAAATTGGGCTATTACAAGAAATTTTTCGAGCGAATTTTTAATGCAGCTAAACGTTTAACAAGATATTATTAGATTTCGGTCATATTCATCAATACAACTCAATAAAACCGTCACAATAACATAAAACCTATTTATAAAAACCTGGTGCGGTGCACACATCACTCAACATTCATTTACTACCCTCTTCTTAGCAGAAATAAGTATTTTCAGACAAAGGGGAAGTGAAAGTAAAAATTATAAACGCTATATTGATTTATATTTCATTGTGGATATTTTTATTTGTTTAAGTACCCTTATATATAAAAATTTTAATATTTATATTGCTGTAATATATACAATTAAGTATTAAATAATATCAATGAAAACCGCGTATGAATATGTACATAATATTGTCAGAGTCCATATTATATTAAGCTCATGTTACTATGGAAGCCTGTTCTAATCTTCAGGCGAGCTCTTGTATTCCTTTGGTTCCTTCATTACAACTATTCTCTATTACAATCTTTTATTTCTCCTTTAGTTAATTATGAAATTCTTTCATATTTATTTTTTATACTAGAGATCAATGTGAAATGTTTAATTGTTTCAAATTAAAAAAAAATTAAAGGTACTTTAGAGGAAGCTAATATTTAAAATGAGCCATTTAAGCTCTGTTAGAGAACATCAATGAGAATAAAACCTACATAATATTAAAAAAAATCTTATTTTACACAGATATAATGAATTTAATCAAAATCGTTGGAGCTGTTTTTGAGAAATAGTGAAAATGTGTATCATCGATGACAAATTGCCACTTTCAGTTAGTCGCTTCAGACGAAAAAGTTGCTGTAACATCTCAGGTATATACAAACCTTACTATATATTTCACATATAGGTAAGCTAAAGTAATATCGATTGTAGCCTATAAAAACTTTAGATGTAACTGCATTAGTTTATTGGAATCACATAACTCCAGGGCTCTGAGCTCTATAGACAAAGAGAGATTTGAAAGTTCATATATTTAATTATGAATAAGTAAGGATCATACTACATAGTTACTAAATCTCTATTACTTTTTATATATATTTATTTAGATTCTTTTTTTTTTATCCTTGGAAAACATACTAAAATACAGTTACTTGCTTTTAAATATAGCATCGATAGGTCAAAAGTTGTCACACTAATTGGAAGTATATAATATTGTGATTTCACAAAGAGAAATGTTTTTGGAATAAATCGACGATGTATACCTAATTATTTAAATATAATATTGGATCTAGAGTTATTAAAGTACAGTAAATGTATTTATGATTATAAACATATGTTTTACACATCCATGAAACATTTTTATATTTCACTTCTTTCACACAAGTATAATGAAATAGTTTTTTAAAAAAATGTCCATTGGCTTCATTCGGTAGATTTTAAATAATTTTTTTTCAAACTTAAACAAATTTTAAAATTTTACATTTAGTAAGTAAATTTCATTTAATTTCGTTGAAAACAAGCCATTTTTGTTAAATAATATCAGTTTTCACAAATTATTATATATTATTTTTTGTCATTCTCCATTACCTTTTACGACTTTCTATTAGATATTGTTTTATCTAAAATTCTCCGCTTTCCGATATATTATACGTATACCTTCTGACTATTATTTCCGGAGATTCATTTTCGACCTAAATAAGCCTTTTCTCCATTTTCCAATTATCGAATTCTTTCATACTTTATATTTAGCCATTTTTTTTAAATAAACCAAATTTAAGGTACTACTTTGGTGGAAGACGTACATGAACATTAGGGATTCAAGCCCTGTAAAGTGACTTCAATGTGGATAAGACCTAACTGATATTAAAAACAACTTAATAATACACTGATATATCGAGTTTAATCAAAATCATTAGAGCCCTTTTTGAGAAAATCATAAAAACGTGTAACATAGTTGATATGAAGTGCCACTTCTGGTTTGCCGATTTTGACAAAAAAGTTACTGTAACATCCCAGGCATACACAAACCTTAAATACGTAATATCAGTTTCGTACAACGTTGTGTTTTTGAGTTACGCTCTTCACACACACACACAGACCATTTTGCGGGGCTTGGTTATTTGGAATCAGGGGGGCTCAAAATATGTATTTCCGGTGAAAACTCAGATTCAAAAATTTTCATGATCGCTATATTTTCCATTACGATATAGTACATATATAGGTAAGTGAAGGGGACGGGGTGGCCGAATGGGTTAAAGTGTGTGCACAGCACCGCGAGTTGCCTGGCAACCGGATTACAGATTTGAGAAGATTTAAAAAAGTACGAGTTTGCGTCCTGGTGCCGGAGGGGATTTTAAATTCCCCGCCCTCACCCCCTGGCCCGGGAAAATCCCGTATAGCCTAAAAGGCGAGGTAGGGAACTAAAAAAAAATATATATATAAGTAAGTGTAAAAAAAAATATTGTGTCCATGTTTTAATTTCAAGAAGGAAAAAAAAACTAAAAATTTATATGTATTTGAATTACATATAGTGGTTGCGGTAGTTCTTTAAATGGTAGTTTCAGGTAATATACGATTACATATCAATTTTTACTGAACCTTATAAGTCAAACTCAGGAATCTCATAGAAAACTATTAATGCATCATTCCTTCTTGGAATGAGTTTTAAACAAAAAGATTTACTTTTCTTTCTATTCAGTTTGAAAATGAATCACCCAAGGAACCGCAATCACAAGATTCAGTATGGAGAATAGAGAAAAAATATACATATCAGCTATTTAAATAGAATTATGCCAACAGAATCAATCACACAGTAAAGTAGAAGTTTCATTTTACTATCCGCCGCCCAACAATATATCAAGATGTTGGATTTTAAAAGGAGCCATATTGAGTTTGGACCAAAGTTACAGTATTACGTTAAGGATTGATCCATTAGAAATATAAAAGAATGGTCTTAAAAACATTCAGTGGGATGAATAAATATATTGATAAACTAATTGAAGCTAAAGTTATTAACAAAAGGAAATATACGGTAGTAGGAAAATATACAATTTTCATTATAAATTTGGCCCAAAATTGTTTAAAACATAACTATAAATATTTTGAAACATAATTTTAAGAAAAATATTGACTGATCTGATAAACTATTATATATAATTATTAGGATAAGGCTGAAGTTAAAGTAGAATATAATGTTACAATGAATGGTGTCAGCATGTTCTAAAACAGAGATCTCCTAACTTTTTGGCCTGCGGGCCATACTGAGACCTCCACAAAGGTCTGCGGGCTGCATTGAGACCTTTACTAAGTCATGACTTGTGATGACAGCTTTCTAAGAGAAAAAAAAGAATCATGCAATAAATGTTGTAGTAACGTTGTGTTGTAGTGATTTTATTTTACTATGTAATCAAAGAAATATTTGTTTGCGGTAGTATGGAGACCCCTGTTCTAAAATTATGCAGGGATATACAATGACATACATATCTATATTAAAACAGAAAATATTTAGTTTATTTTTTATTTTTGAATAAAAACATTATGGTTCTAAAAAAAAAAATGAATGGATTTCAAAATATTTGTTATCATTAAAAGTAGATACAGTATCTTAAAACTTTTATAATAAGAATTTATTAATAAAAAATTCATTACCATTTATAAATGGTGAATAAACCCATTCATTACTTAATTTCAATTCATTTTCAAATCCAAACTACTCACAAAATAATATTAAGATATTACTATAAAATAACAATGTCAAACATCTAAATTATACACTTGGAAAGTTACAATATCAAGAAAGGATTTGGTCATGCCACATAATACAAGAGAATTAGAAAGAGACAGATGAAACACTCCAAAAAAAGACATTTAAAATTCAAATGTACAATTCTGTTTCTCATAAACAAAAATTCCTAAAATATTACTGCAAAAAGTAAACTTTACAATTATAAACTGTAATGAAATTAATTTCTTTTTAAGGTTGAGGCAATTAAAATTCCAATTATATCTTTAATCTTTTTTAATCACATCTGATGTTTCACGACAATTTTTCCATCCTCAGAGAATCCTTTATATTTACTTGACTTTGTAATGTGGCACCAATTGTCAAAAATAACGATAACTGTAATATCTATTTAAATATAATAATTTTTTTTGGTGTTCTACATTCATTTTTTATATATCATTATACCAATCAACACTTGGTTACTTCTCTAGTTAGAAGTAAGCCAGCGTTGGTTGGTATAATGAATGATATATAAAAAATGAATGTGTAACACCAAAAAAAGTATTATATTTAAATAGATATGGCAGTTATTGTAATTTTTGACAGTTGGTGACACATTACAAAGTCAAGTAAATATAAAGGATTCTCTGAGGATGGGAAAATTGTCCCGAAATGTCAGATGTGATTAAAAAAGATTAAAGATAAAAATGGAAGTTTAATTGCCTCAACCTTAAAAATATAAACCGAAGCTTCCAAGAGAAAGAAAAACAAGAAGAAATTTATTTCATCTTCCATGAAACTATGACAAAATAATTTTGTTGAACCGTCACTTTTTTTTTAAAGTTGAACAGCAACATTAAAAAACATTGATCCTCAGATTTTTTTTTTATATCTGTAATTGGTAACATCAACAATTTGTTTTTATCCCATAATCAATTTACATCACAGGGAAGGAAGAGGGTAGAAATCTAGTTTTTAATTTTGCAGATGTTTTTCTTAGAATTTTCCTTTTAAATATATAGTATTTGAAGTTAAAAATTTGGATGGGGCAGAATGGCCGAGCAGCCTAACGAGTGTGCAAAATATGCATTGCCTGTCAAGCTGATAAACTGAAGATTCCATGATGAAACAATAACGAGTTCCTGTGTTTCCATTGAAAACTTGGATTTAAATTTTTTTAGGATCATATTACTTTCCTTAACTGCTCAAGGGAGAACCTTAAAACATGTATTTTTTTTTTAAACTATATATTTCATGTACATATAGTAAGTGAAAATAAAAAGGAAAACAAAGATGTATATAAATTATTTGAAATTGCAGATATCATTTGAAAAGAAATTTGTTGCTCTTTAATGTAAAGTACAAACCATGTAGACAAAATATATTACAAAAAACTTAAAATCCTTCAAATGCTAAAACATTCATGAAAAACTTAGGTTTCTCCCCACAACTTTGAAAATACTGAGCATAGCTTGATGATATTTGAAGGATAATAAACTACAGTAATTTTGAAAATTTAATAAGAAACTATACCGCTTGTACTGTATACCAATGTATAATTGTATTGTATGCTCTATACCACTTGTATAAAGATTGTAACACTATGCTGTACATGATTTTTTCATTTACCAAGAAGGGAGATGTTGTCTTTCGACAGTTATTAAAAATAAGTTAAATTGTTTCTACTTAAAACATCATGTTTTGATAATATTTTCCTTCAATATATACAAAAATTAAATGCAATGTTAGAAAAGTTACAATACAAGATAAACTAATCAGTATAAAGTAACAAGTCATCACAATAAAAATCAGAATATCTTGAAAAGCATTCTCAGAAAAAGTATCAATAATTATTTTAAATGTATGTTACAAAATTAATAACAAAACTGATAAAGGCATGTTCTGTATTTATGAACTAAAATAACTTAACAAATCAAGCATAAAATACATTTACCGAGGCCAGGTCTCCTTCAAAAAGCAAGATGTAATGCACAGTTTTCCAGTTAGAGGCTCTTACAACAACCTGTCAAGTAGACTATTTCTAAGAAAAGAAAGAGACTATTTCTTGTATTATTATTTAGTTTGCTATATAAAGTATTTTTTGGGATTCTGAAGTATCCTCATGGTTCAGACACCCAGATCACTAAAGTTTCCTAAAAAGTCACATGGTCAATATTGTATAGTTCAGCATTTTTCCTCCTTTCCCCAAACATAACCTGTCATGAAATTGAAACGAAAATACAGAGAATCTCACTAAAGCAGCCCTTTTCGTCGTAAACCAACGACTTCCTGTCCTACAGTTTCCTTTAACAATACTCCACTTATCCCTGTTGAGCAAATCCGATACCTAGGACTCCACCTGGACAAACGACTAACTTGGAATCCTCATACTAGACTGAAACGACAAGAAACCGCTCGACGTTTCCGATTACTTCAGCACTTACTAGACAAACGCTCTAAACTTCCCATTAATTACAAAAGACTCATATACTTGACTATAATAAGACCTATTTGGACTTACGGAGTTGAGCTATGGGGCTCCACTAAACCATCGAATTCCTCTCGCATCCAATCCTTACAATCCAAAATCCTTCATAAAATCCTCAATGCTCCTTACATTGTCACAAATAAAATTATCCATAAAGATCTTAATGTTTCTTATGTTTCAGATCTGGCCCAATCCAGATACCTATCCTTCCATAATAAACTTCAGAATCATCCCAACCCTCTCGTTTCTAACCTTGCTTCCTCTTCAATTCCTGATAACCCTCCGAGGCGTCTGAAAAGACGATGGCCCCGTGATCTCCTAATGTAGTCATATCATTAGAGTGCTACCATTGGGTAGTACGTGTATTCAACAAGTGTATTCATGTCATTATATCAATAGCGTTTTTTCTCACTTAAAATTAATCTGTTTCTTTAATTACATAAAATATTGAAGGTTAGAGCTAATCAAATATTTTGTTGAGTAAATAAAACTAAAAATAATTTTGAAGGGGCAATCTTGAATTGGTTTAAGCCATTAGCACTGCGCTTTACTATCTAGATGGTGACATTTAAAAATTAATTTTGAACATCTAGTGGTATTTCGCCTTCAATAATTTGGAAAAATTTTCCCTTAATTTATTATCAACTTTGACATTTATTTATCTAATACAACTATGTGACACCTGTTTACGTTGACCTATTGTTCTATACAAATATGTCTATAAATTGTAGAACTGTTATTTACCTTTAACTAGAAGTAGGCCTTTTTAAGCTTTCTTGGACGATATGGAAAAAATAAATAAATAAAAACTATGACATTAAGCCTGTTCTCGATATTTTATACACTTGTTGCCAAGCATTAATGGAAAAATGAAAAATAAAAACTAAAAATTCTGTATACCTGGCTATTCAAGCATAATTCCTAATTTTTTCTGCAGACATAAAGAATATAAGGTGAATTTCTTATCTTCAAGGAATTCAAACCTACTGGGTACCTGTATTATACCCGTGAGTTGCCCAAAACATTTTTGGGTACTCAGAGATTAAGTAGTAGATGAACGGTTCCATACCAGAAAGTAATAAAATAAATATAAAAATATCCCCGCCCACACTCCCTGGCCCGGGAAAATCCCGTATAGCCTTAACGGCGAGGAAGGGAAGGACCCAAAAAAAAAAAAAAAAAAAAAAAAGTAATAAAATAAATTTCAGTATTTAATAAGTATATAACTACTCAGCTCAATAAGTTATAGCAGTAAACTAGGAAAAATATTCATGATAGGACCGGTGACGTGTTCTAATGGGATAAAAGACAAAACTTTTTTAAAAACTAAAATAGATACCATAATTACAAAAATTAAAACAAAAACAGAATAAATAATTCAGTTGCTAATGGATTAAGAAAACACAGAATGGTTTTTAAAAAGATAAAGAAAATAATCCTCTTGACATCGATTGTCAAATAAAAACAGATATCATAATAAGAAAGTTAAATCAATCAGAACGACTTCTTCATGGTATTTCTATGAACGTAGCTCATTTTATGACTGAAAAGAATCTAAAATAGAACTTAGCCTAAATGAATATATACACAATATAACTGTTAACTAACAATGTATAATATAAAACTGAAATGAAAATTTCAACTATCACACCTTAATTAATCTTACCTTTAAAAAACCAATCAAACAGGGCTGTGGAGAAGCATTAAGAAGTCGTTCCAGACGATCACAAAACTGCTCAGGTTCTACCTTCATATCAACAAGTTCTTGAATTAAAGTCCTAACACTTTTTTCTACTGCCTTTGGCTCTCTTGATGAAAGTTCCAGAAGATTGGCAAGGAATTTTCGACACTTTTCTTTAGTCTGGTCTACAGCTCCTCTCTGCGCTACATTATTCTAAAGAAGAAAATGGGGATAAACAAAAGAAAAAAGGAATTAATTAGATAATTTGATACTTTAATTTATGGTTTACTATGAATCGTAAAACTATAATTAATAATAGACTTGATTATAATTTTTTTTTTTTTTTTTATAAGACCAACCATTGGGATTCAGAACCGAGTTTCAATTTCCGGTTTTAAATTAAATGGAGATATAAACTTTTAATCCACACAATTCAGCAAACAATGTATCAAATTATTTAATAACAATAAACTAAATCATAAATGGTAACTTTATATCAGACAAGAGGTGTAACCAAACCTATTCTGACCAGAGTGGGAAGGTTGAGATACATTCCGTGGGTGCGACACGAAATAAATTTCAACCTACCCAGGCCAAATTTTAACTGGCACTGCTAGACCCAAGGAATGCTGAAGTGGACAACGCCTCAACAAACATTATGGCTTCATGTTTAACTATTAGAAGCCATATAAATACTTTTAACTTTAAAAAAATTAACTGAAATTACAAACTAACTAAATAAGTAAACATTCTATACATCTTCAGGTTTTTTGTTGTGATCCATTAAGGTATAGTAGTAACAAATACGACATAAATAAAATCATGAAATAAAGTATTCTATTTAATATCATAATAAGTATTGCTTTTTATTGTTAGAAATTTATAGAATCATGACTCATTCCAGATTTTGATAATTTTTTTTTTTGCTATATAATAATATAAATGTTGAACAAGATATATATAAGCGATATTATAGAACTGACCAGAATAATTATAACACAATTTTTATCCATTTTTTTTTCACTTCTGCAACTAACAGTAATCTAACTGTTAACTTCTGCAAATAGAATTTTGCCAAGATGAACGGAATGACTGGCTAAAATGAGTTCACCATGAACCACTGCTTACTTTATTAATGGGAATTTCTATAAGTGCTTTTAAAATAAATAAATAAATAAAATAAAATATTATAGTAAAAATTGTACTTAATTATTAAAGTTGATGATCATACATAGTGTAATACGAAAATAAACTAAATAAGAGACCTTATTTTTGCTTCCACGTCACAATGATAATGGAGTCAGCAGAAATTAAAGATGTAACACGGGAGAATGTAAGTATAGTATCATTAAATATTTATTAATTATATAATAAAGAGCTGAGATATTTCTGCTATACTAGTGTAAACTTAATGAAATAAACATACAAATAATTGCGAACAAGTTGCAAGACAATTTATGATTAACACAAAGCCATCTGTTGTTTTATTTAAAAGTAACAGAATATTAACCTGAACTTTACTACAAGCGTGGACAAATTGTTTAATTTATTAGTGAAAATTGACAAAATAAAAGGAAATCAATCATTTTCATTATTGCATACTAGTCATGTATAAAATAAAATTTCAGTGGATTTAAATTATGGCTTAAATAGTTCTACTGGAAATCAGAACAATATTACATAGATTATAAAGTTCTTCAAACTGTTTTTAATTCTTTAAAGTGTTTTTTAAGAACTATCTTTTTTATTTATATAAAAGTTAATGTGATTAATCTTAAATTAATTTATGAATTGCCAGTTAAAATTCATTAACACACACAACAAAAAAATTAAAATTATCTAATAACTAAATCAGTTATAAAACATCAAATAAAACGTTTAAAATATTACTTCACTTTTTACAAGGTTATGGAGTAACTGACTGGTATTCTAATTTTAAAAAAAAAGGTGATTGGGCGTGCGGTCAATAGACATGCTATGTAATTTAGAGCACTGTTTTATTACACTATCTATTACGTTTATTTGCCAGAAAAATGTCATAAAACATTCAAAATATTCTATTAAGAAAATGTAACAAAAATATAATATGTAGTATGATGAAGCAATGAACCATAGCTTTACTTTATCAACAGCCAATGGTACAGTAAGTTTAATAATGATTTTAGAAATTCCACTTAATATACACATTTTAAGAGTTGGATTCTCTAGGACAAAAAACATTATTTAGTAAATTAATCCAGCCCGTCATCATCCCAAATTTCTGTGGATCTTTCATTCTTAGAAACGATTGTACAGTACAACTACTAGTTCGGCCAAATATAATGTAACAATTTTGATATTCAGAGGTTGCCAAGGTGGTTTAAAAGAGACATCAGCCTCAAGAGAAAAGAGAGTTCTGGAAAAAAGTCTAAGTTTAGTTAGATAGGTCAGCAGGATTTGTTTGAAGCAGACTGAACAAAAAGTAATCAAAAATTGGAAAGCTTGAAGAAGGCAAATCCTTTTATTTCACGACTGGTTCTCAAGAAATTGACTACTGAGCAGATACGAGACGGGGGTTGTCTATAAATTTAAATTATTTTTAATAAACCGAAGGAACATCATTTCATTGAAAACTTGCGATGAAAGGTGGATAAATTAGAGAGATCTTATGACCAAAAAACAATTGTTTATAGCTTAAAAATTATTAGATCAGTTTCAAATAATGTATGATGTTGAAACCCAGAGTAATCCAGAATAAGTTATTAACATTAGTATTAGTTCAACAATGAGATAATTCCTAACCACACATTTCTTGTTGAATTTTCCTTCACTATGCTTACAATCAGGACATACAGCTGTATTCACATTCATAGGTGTTGAAAAGTTGACATTTATTTAATAAATAAGAATATTCATTAATGAAATTATATGAATATATTCCCAATTAACATTTGTAAACACAAGCCTATTCACATGACGAATAATTTGAATATAAGCGTATTCATAAAACTATATTCATACTCTTAGTTGTGAATAAGAAATTTGTATTCACACTTGTAAATATGAAATCTATATTCATATTATTTTATTTCAATATAAATGTAGTAGCACTAATTAACACCTGCGTTAGTGATAATTTATCACCATGTGATATAAAAAATGAATTAAAAATGAGAGGTTACAGGAGGTGGTAGAAAGTTATAATAAAAAATGTCATTGCCTTGATCAGGTGGATTTTAAATATTTTTTTCAAACTTCGAAATATTTTATAAGTTTACATTTAGTTAGTAAATTTCATTTGATTTCCTTGAAAACATGTGATTTACATTAAATATTACTACTTTTCAAAAATTATTATTTAAAATGTTTTTGCCACTCTCCGTTACCTCCCACAACTTTCTATATTAGATATTGTTTTTTCTAAAATTCTCCGCTTCCTAACGATATATGTATAACTTCTGCTAGTATTTCTGGAGATTCATTTTCGACCTGGATAAGCATTTATAATTGTTTCTCCTTTATTTAATTATCAAATTCTTTCAAAAGTTATATTTAGCATTTTTTCGTATCTCTTAATAATGAGAGATAGTTAATTATTTAAAATAAACCATATTGAAGGTACTTTAGAGGAAGACGCATATGAACATTTGGCATTTAAGCCCTGTAAAGTGACATAAATGGGGATAAGACCTAAATGATATTAAAGACCACTAAATTATACAATGATACACCGAGTTTAATCAAAATCGTTATGAGCCATTTTTGAGAAAATTGTAAATATGTGTTTCACCGTTAATATAAAGTGGTACTTCCGGTTAGCCAATTTTAAGGAAAAAGTTGCTGTCACGTCTAAGGCATATACGTATCTTAATTACGTAATATCAGTTTCATACAACTTTTCGTTTTTGAGCTAGACTGCTGACATACAAACACACAAACCATTTTTCGGGACTTGGTTATTTGGACTCAAAACGTGTATTTTCGTGGAAAACTTAGATTAAAAAATTTTCACAATTGGAATACTTATCCTTACTATATATTAAACATATATATGTAAGTGAAAGTATATATAAGACCTTGCTCCTAAGTTTCTGAGAGCAGGCAGGCTCCAGAAAACTAGAAGGCGGAGATGGCGTTGGACGGTTCTGCCAATGCTCAACGCCTTCATGAAAGATAGAAAGCCCGGGCAACATTTTTAGATAGATACCGCAGCAGCATTATTGGTAGTACCACCTGGTAAGAAAAGGTTAGTACTGAGAACATATACTTTATTCGCTGCTAACGGCACAAAAATCAAAACATATGGTGAAGTGGAACTTCAGTTAGATTTCGGTCTCAGGCGGTCCTTCAAATACACCTTTGTAAGAGCCGACGTGCACAAATCTATTATTGGAGCAGACTTTATGTTTCATTTAGATTTTTTAATGGATCTGAAATGGCAACGGCTAATCAATAATATTATTCATCTATCATCTAATGGTAGAGTTAGCAATGAAGCCCCATCTTCAATATCGTCTATGCCTGATATTTTTTGCCGATCTACTCAAAGATTTTCCTGAGATAACCAGACCATCAAGAATGCAGCGTGAATTGGAAGATCTTAGACAGCAATCCAATTTACAATTTATAAGTCTTTCAATTTTCCAGGTACTGGAGCCACAATAATCTGCGAAACTACCAAACCGCAGGCTTGTATATACATACCTCGGTCCACGCGGCAGGAAATATTCAACGGCGTGCACCGACTAAGCCATTATGGCAATGCGAAAGCTTCTATCCAGTAAATCCTTTGGCCTGCTATGAACAAAGATGTAGCAGAATGGTAAAGATGTTGCATTGGATCTCAAAAACTCAATGTAGTCAGACATACTGCTACACGGCCTGGAAAATACGACCATTCTGGTCGATTTGAACACATCCATATAGATAAATCGGACCTTTGACCCCGTTCCAGGGTGAAAGATACTTTGCGACCATCATTGACAGGTTTACCTGATGGCCCGGAAGCCATTCCAGTGCAGGAGATAACAGCAGAAAGCATAGCAACTGTATTTTATGAAGAGTGGATAGCTAGATTTGGAGTGCCAACTTTGCTAACAACGGATCAGGGGAGAGAGTTTGAAAGTGATCTCTTCCTTTCTCTTACCAAATTCCTTGGAAACAGGCGAGTGCACACTTCACCATACCATCCGCAAGGAAATGGCTATGTGGAGAGATGGCACAGAACATTAAAAGCAAGTTTCATGGCACATATGGACTGTGATAATTGGGTGAAGCTATTGCCAACTGTTCTTCTTAGGTTAAGGGCAACTCTGCGTGATAATATGAGAAACCATTTATGGACAGACTATATGCCTCCCAGGCGATTTTCTGTTGCCCACATCTGGCAACTCCAGTTTAAAAGAGACAGTACAAGAGCTAAAGCAGTTTATGGATGACCTGCATCCTGCAGCGTTCAGGTCTAGTAAAACAAGTATTTTTGTCCTTAAGTCTTTAGAAACGGGCACACATGTATTTTTAAGGGATGATAGGATAAAAAAAACCAGTGTCAACTCCATACTCAGGACCTTATTTCGTACTGAATCGTTCAGAAAAATTGTGTATTCTGATGTTGCCTAATAGAGAAGTCAGTTTCAATGGACTGAATAAAGCCCGCATTTTTATTGGCAAGCCTAGAAGAAACACAGGAAACACCCACTGAGAAAGAAGCTTTAAGAGCTAGTAAATATGGACAGACTGTAAAAGAAAATGTCCACTTTGTTAACGTAGTTATCGGAAGGGAGTGATGTAGCAGCACTACTACTTTCAGCCTAATTAATAACTGCGTCAGTGATAATTTATCACCATGTGATATAAAAAATGAGAGGTTACACGAAGTGGTAGAAAGTTATGTTAACTCAATGATTGTACAACTTGTAACATTACTAATATATCAAAATAATGTTAATATTATAAAAGTGAACATTCTTTTGAGAGGCCGAGCTCTAACATGTAAGTGTAATTGAGAATTCTTGTGTAGTCATAATGATATTGTTAAAATAAATACAATTATCAAATGAATTTGTGTTACCTATTAAAAAATTTTATTGAGATAGTAGTGAGGTATTTTCTTGATTATATCACCTTAAGGACAGATAACTTCTATACGGTCGAGTTTCTCGACCCAAACTTTATCCTAGAAATTTTAGTTAAGCAGTTTGGTTTTTACCCACTAGGTCACCAAAAACATTAAAGATACTTTTACACGGTTATGTTTCTTAAACAAAGTAGGGATTTTAATTAACATATTTTTCTGCTAGGTGTGCCAGGAAAGTAACTTTACTTCGAATATTGTTGGTTATTTATGTTAAAAAAATCTGGTGCAGTGCGCATATCAAATAACTTTCACTTATCAACCTTAGAGTAGATAAGTATTTTCTTATAGAAAGTGGAAGTGAAAACGACGGTATAACTTCATTTAAATCAACTAATTAGCATTTTCCCGACTAACTAATTGAATTAACTAACACGTTCCATGTTCCAGGTTTGAACATATGGCATTGTATGAGCCTAAAGATCATTCGTTTTACAGCTACTCAAAAACTTAAAGAAACTTAATAGGTTTTTATAGGAAACATATATGCAAAATATATTATAAAAAACAACATGGGTACTAAGGCCAATTTTTAACTTTTCCTTTACAGATTTTCAATTTCATAAGAGCCATTATGGCATCATAAAAAAATTCACTATATATGACTATGAAGTTTATTTGAGCTCATAGTATCAACAATATGTGTCAAATTAAATCCTTCTAATCCAAAATTATTTAGAAATTCCTTAAAAATAGATATATATATTAAAAGAGAAACACGTTGAAAAACGTAAACACTGATTTCACAAAAAAGATATTTTAAAAAGTAATTTATAGGACAACATAATATTTAACTTAACATTTTTATTAATGTTAGTATTTAAATTTTTTCAACTACCTTTCAAAAGTTGAATTATACAACAAAACAAAATTACAATATTCTAACCAAAATAAAGATTTCAACTTTCAAATAAGAAAAAGTTTGATAAGAATAAGTTATAATATTACAATTTTTAGCTTAAACAATAACATTATCTGACACCAATAAAATAAGATAGTAACCATTGTATCAGTCAAGAATTTTAAAATTAGTATTTATTTCTATGCAAAATTGATTTTGTTCTTTAACAAGGAATGAAACATATACAAAATCAAAATGCTATCGAAACAATAAAAATCAGGTCTGACCAAGCTAAACGCTACATGTGCGTGCCACTTTATCATCAAAAACTCACAGTGGCTCAAAGTCAAAATGATGCATCTGGATATTGATAGGGTATTGTAGAAGTTTTAGGGCGATAAATTGCAGGATTATTACATCCCTGTATTGATAGAAATTATTGAATAAATAAATGGCTTAATTTATACTTATTATTATTTATATAAAACAATAATTTATTGTAATGAATGAACGGAGTAGTAATATGTCCTTTTTCTTGTTCATATGTTATGTTTTATGTTCTGTATTTTGGTGTGAGGGTGTTGTTTGCGGCTTCTGCTATATGACATTCATTTTATAGTGAAAATTTTCACATGGTATATTGAATAACTATGTTTACACAGACATTTTGAGCAGAAACTTAAAAGAAATTATAGAAAATCTAGAGCTAAAAAACAAATTTAGTTTTTATCAGGATAATGACGCAAAACATTCTGCCATGTTAGTTAAGGAATAGCTACCTCATAACTGTTCTAAAGTTCTAAAAACTCCAACAGTCACCAGATATTAATGTGATAGAACACATGTGGACAAAATTAGAGGTAGAAATTTTAAAAAAATATGAAATTTCTAGCAAAGAAGACAAAGAAATATATCCTTGATGAGTGGAACTGGCTAAGCCCAGAATTCACAAAAAAAATTGGTTGACTCCATTACAAACAGATTGAAAGAAGGGGTGGCTTGCCTACAAGGTACTGCAGATGCATCATTTTGACGGAGATGTAAAATTATAAACTTTTTTTTAAAAAATCACAGTTGAATATTTTAAATTTATTAAGTTTGAAACAATTTAAATAGAGATTATAAATAAATCTGTTGGAGAGTTATTGGTATTATTTGTTTACTATAACAATTTATATTTTTTTCTATGGGATGTTCGATTTCATTGTGAGCCACTGTAGGTAAACATACTTTTCAAAAATGTAATATTAATATAAAGTGGAATAAAACATTATTGTGATAATTTGATTCTATACAATTAATTCTAAAATTTCTATTAATAAACTGTTCATTAACCATTCTTTCACTAAATTTTTCAATTTTTTAAACTAATAAACATAAAATATAGAACTGGACTTTGTTGCCACACATGCGTATAAAAATAAAACATGCAAATTTTCATTTATTTAATGTCATTAGTATACATACAAGAAAGAAAACATTGATAGATAAATATAAAATCACCCGATATTCCACAGGTTGGCTAAGCCTGGTTTAAATAATATAAAAATAAAAAAACTACAGATTTCTGTTGAAAATATTACACGAATTGTGGAATTAAAGTGAATAATAACTAATATACTTTGTTCAATGAATCCCTAGTACATAAAAATACAATGACACATATTTTCTTTGATTTTAGAACATATCACTCATTTGTTGCATAGTCAGTACTCCAAATTTATAAATTTTAAAGGGATATATTTGAAGTCTAAAATTATATTTAACTGACAGTTGATTGAAATACTACTAATATTCCTTCACAGATTAATATCATGTTTAGTACTTATAATTTACATATACTTCTCGAATACAATTCATAAGTTTCAATAAACAAAAATAAATATTTAGTCTAACTACAATAAAAATTAACATTAGTCTAAGGAGGCTAAAAAATGACACGCTACTAGTATGCAGCATATTATGGCAATTGTTTATAAGATATTAATTCAATTATCATGATCTTTTAGTTAGAACGTTGTTGCAAGAAATGAGCAATATGCAATATTTTAAAATGTTGGGACAGGATAATTAGATTACATTTAAATCAAATAAAGAGTTATTTAAATTAATTCTAACAGGAATTAAAACATGATGATGATGCCTAATTTATTCAAAGAATATAGTGTAGATAAAAACAAGAAACTTGTTCTGGGAATAATGAAAATCAAGCGATATAATTTTGATAGTTAACATTTTTGTTATCTTTCATTAAAATTAAGAATAATATACAAATACAGTAATTCAACTATGACAAATTAAATTAACTTTCAGATTTATTTTCCCCAAAATGCATATTTATTTAGGGAAGACAAAATCACGACAAATAAAGCATTAGAATAATCTATTATAATTTTTCCTCAAAACTTAGAACCTCAGATTGATTTAACCTCAAGAGAGGTTATACTGTTAAATAATCAAGTGACAGATTCCTAGACTGTTTCCTATTTATCAATCAAAAACATGATTAAAATGTTTTTGCTATATCTAGTGTTTTATATTCTTGAATTAATCAATGCTTGTGCAAATAATATTCATCCATAATACATCTTTAGAATATAACAATAAAAACATAATCATAATTCTAAAGTGAAAACAGAAAAATCTTAAACAAACCAGGTTTCAATTGAAGTTTAGATTCGTATAAATTAGAAATTAAGAGATCATCCAAAAATACATGACTTAATTAATATTTAAGAAAAACTGTGTTACATCCGTTATAACTTTGTACAATTGTATCTTTTACCATACTGAATGAATAACATAATCACTTTAATTGTTACATGCTTAAGTATAAAAATATTACTTACAGCAGTGCCTGTCCCAGAACTCTGGGCTGCTAGTGCTGGAACTTGGGTCTGAACACCAGCTCCCGGGGTATTCGCACCCTAAAAAATCACACCATATACATTAATCAAAATTAATGAATTTCATAATAACAGTGAATAAAATACAAAAGATTGTATAAGAAATTATTTTTAAAAAACAAGTGTTAACATGCACTGAGAATATATAAGCATAATAAAGCAAAGAACAAATACTATATAGTTTACTAATACTGGCTAAGAAAACATTTGATACTTCATAAAACAACTATACTGTGATACAGAATGATTATGCTTGACAAGGGATAGGTTGTTATTTCATGAGTACAATGAATACATAAAATATTGTTGATATACTATGATGATATGTAGTAATAAAAGAATACAATACAAATATCAAAGGATTAGGGTTAGACTAAACAAGAAAAGTAGGTTATGAATGAAGAACATATCAAATGGTAACAAAATACAATGGACTTACTTAACAATATTCCTCAATAGAAAAACAAGATACTCACAGCGATAGTTTGAACTCTAAATGCATTGACATTGTTGGCAGATATTGGAGATCCTTGGGCTTGCTGTGCTCCCCCTGCAGTCGCAGGGCCTACTCTAAGCAGTTGGTATTGACCATTTTCTGTTTTCAATAAAAGATGGCCCTGTGTTCCTGGTGCTAGTCCTTGAAGAGTTTGAAGAGTAATTTGCTGTAAGTATTCAATTAACATTACCAAGTTATTTAACTAGAAATAAACTAATAAAACAAGATTATATCTGTTGTGATTAAATGTAACAGAATTTGCTAGAATTAAAGAGAGCTATCTAAAAATTAAATAAGTTGCAGAAAGTTACATACCCCAGGTTGACCTGGCCGTGCACCAACCATTTGCGGTGTACCTATCATAACCCTCTGAGGCAATGTTTTAGCACCAGATTGATTTGGAGTAGCAGCTCGAACAGCATTGACATTTAAAATTTGAACATTTGCAGGAACTATTTGAGGTGAATTACCTACAATTGTCTGTTGTGCTCCTACAGCCTGATTTACAGGTTTAGTTAACACTACACCTGACACTCCCGAAGTAGTTGTTACACCTAATGTATTGGTGTTTCCCGTTAAAGTCATTGTAGTAAGAGGAGTAGCACTTTGACTAGAAGTAATCATTAATACAGTTAAAAAGTAACTTCACAATTTTCGAAAAATACTATTACCGGTGCGTAGTTTAGATAACTGAACTTGAATTAAAGAAGAAAAAACTCTATATCTTCAAATAGCGGAGTTACTGCTATTTGAAAGTACGCACCTGAGAAGGTAGAGATTTTTCTTCCTTATTCATTCAAAAAATAGTACGGATGAAACAGGGCGGGGTATAAAGGCAATGGAAGAATTCTTTAAACCCTAATGAAGCTTATTTGTTATTAAAATTCAACGTAACGTTAGCTTCTTCCAACGAATGTCAACAACACAGTCAGCCATAATGGTATTTCACATGGGGGTAGTGGTGGGCACAATCGACGAAAAGCAAATGACTCAATATTGGATGAGATAAAAGAATCGATTCTAAAAGAAAGTAGAAATCGTTCAATGTGGAAGTTTGCTGTTCGATTCATAATTCACTTTTTCAATTTGAAACTATTTTAAATTATAATGGTAGTATAAAAAATTGATATTAGATATTATTATTGGATTTTCTTAAACGAAAATAATTGTTAATATAGAACCTCTACGATCAATTGTATCAGTCATGGGGAAATTTTTGATTTTATCAGTTCAATGAATTATTATGATATAATTCTTGAAGTGTTTTCTTGTAATAAATAAAGATTTTAATTGGTTAATTTTTAGTAACTTAATATTGTTTCCATTTAGTTCACTATAAATTTTGTTGAATGATCGTTGTTAACCTCATTTAAACTTACTACTCACATTGTGTGGTAGAAATCTGCTTCGTTTTATTGGATTATATCAATTAATTTTATTAACATGCTCTTTACAGATATAAATTTCATTTTAAATAGTTAATTCATACATTGTTATAAACCATTTTAAACTAAATGCTTGTAAATTTTCATAATGTGTTTTCATTGATGTTTATTACAAATCAGTACTATTTGGTTTAAGGTTTAAAATTTACTGATGCTATTAAAATATTCTAATTTATACAAACGAACTCCATAGAGTTATTTTTTAAAAATGATGCTGAAGTTTCAATTTTAAAATGAATGACCGTTATGACATTCATGAGTCATTTCGTCTTCGCAATCGCTAGCAATCGATTATAAGTTTACTTCGACAAACTAAATCTTTCAACCTAATATGGAAAAAAGCATTAACATGTCACTCACTAATTTGGAATGAGACTGACAAATCTCAAAAATTAACTTTTACAGATTTATGTGTTTGTGTACTAATGGATATGTCCAAATTTATTTATTGTTTCTTTGGAAGATAGCAAAACAAAATAAAAACAATTTTCCATTTTTCAGTAATCATAATCAATTGGATAACACCACTTTGAGATTTCCCTTAAGTCCCACGGGTCACATTGATACCTGCGAAAAGTTTGGCGGGCCACGGATTGTGACAAAAAATCTATAAATGACACAACGCAATTATTTTTTAAACTGTGTTAGCTTTCTTCCAACCTAGTGGTGCAAAAAAAAACTTATTAATTTAAAAAAAATCAACTATAGAAACTGGGAAATTCTATCCAATCTAAGAGAATGTACTTCCATATCTACTGAAACATTTTGGTAGATTGATACGGAAATTGACATCTATGAATATTTAAACTTGGTTCAGAGGTCGGGTTCCTTTCACTACACATTACGGCTCTAGGTAAATATATTTCGTTCCATACATGTCAACATCCAACATCCGAAAAGTCTTGAAGTGTGATAGGAACTCGACTATTTAACAAAGTTTAAATATCCGTAGATGTCAATTTTCCTGTCAATCGACCAAGATGTTTCAGTACCCTCTGGATGAATAATGTTTCCCAATTTCTGTAGTAGGTTTTTTTTATTTTAAAGAAAAACATTTTTCATTTTTAGTTTTTAAAACATTAACAATTTATTTTCATAACATATGATCACATGACATCATTCAATAATCTAGATACTTAAAAAAAAAATTTGGTGCGGTGAGCGCATCACACAACGTTCACTTACCGCTCTACTTTGAATAGAAATAGTTTTCTGACAATGTTGGGCTATTACAAAATTTTTGAAGTACATTTTAAACGGAGCCAAAGCTTAAAGCTTCACGTAACAAATTATTAAGACCATTGAAATTACAAAAATCCTATTTATTATATGGACGATAGACAATAAAAATCTAGTTACTCCGTCTGCTTTTATAAACCACATAACTTCAGTGCCTTGTCTATGTGTGCCTTTCAATTGATAGAACAAGTAATTCCAATTTCAACATTTTTGAGTAATGTCATTTTAGTGATATTGCTAGTTGAAAAAGCTGTATCTATACAGACAGTGAATAAGTAGATTTCAGAGCAGGTGATTGCAGTGTTGAAATATAGAACTGTGAATAAAGATATATATTTTCCCGCTTGAAACATCACAAAAATCAATTCATTAATCAAATCCAATTAATCAATTCAATCAAATCCATTAATTAATTATTTAATTAAGGGTACTCACATTAAAGAGGCTGTGTGTGACTCAGGAGAGTCTCTCGGGTCGATCCAGGACTGATGAAAAATTACTAGTCATCAGCTAGTCATAGTCATCAGCGGGATTCGAACCTGGACTTTGGGCTCTGGAAGTCAATGCTCTCTCACTAAGGTACATCGCTCCCTGAGATGCTTAAACCATAAAACATTTTTTATTATTATTATTTTGAGCCCAAATTGTTTTTAAAAAATCACGGGACCTAACTGAGTAATTACAGCCGTCAAAGTTAAAAATCGAATATGTCTAACACTTGTGGATCCAGAATTTAATTTTAGGGGAGAGGCTTCAGCCGGAGAGCTTTTTTTTTTTTAAAAAAATAAAGAAATTAACTAGTTAGCTATATGACATGGAGTTTAAGTGATTCTTGGAGTCCCATTCAATGTAATTAAACGAACAATGACACTTTAAGAGATAGTTTTTAATATTATTTTCTTTAAAACATGGTTATATTTTACTATAGGGGAGGGGCTGAGCCCGAAAGCCTCCCCGTTCCCTCCCGTAGATCCGTCTGTGATGTCATCCGCTCATTAAGACAATTTCGGCATCTTTCTTCAACAGCAGGAGTGGCAGAACGGCACTGGATATGTGTTATTGTTTCTCAAGATTCAATCATACTTCTTCGTAAGGAATGAAGGTCATTGACCGAACATACATAGACTTTTGTTTAATGTTACCCCAAACAAAACAATTCAGTGGTGTCAGATCTGTAAAGCGTGCATTCCAAGCCACTGGTCTTGCACGGCCAATCCATTGATTGGGATATGGGTATGGGATATGATTGAGCAAGTCCGGTCGATGACCTTAATTCCTTACGAAGAAGGATAATTGAGCCTGTCTTAATGCTCAAGAAAATGACTTTGAACAACATTTAATATGAATGTTAATGTTTACATTTAATTAATAAAATAGTTAGAACAAATAAATAAGTTTTATTTATTTCATACGCCATAAATAATTCATAACAACAAAAATCTTTAGGTGTAAATATCATACATATCATACAACATACCTTCAGAGGATATCTGTTTCTAGTTTATTTTTGCAGTTTGGTCACTTAACACTGAATTACCCTGTATACATATTATAACACATACACATGACAAACATACTAATGATTGAATAAAATGAATGCAAATGAAAAATAAATTACTAGAAGTAAAATATAATCGCGAATAATTTATGATTTTTTTTAAAGACAGAACATAGCTCAGTTTAGTCGCTCAAAAGTCCTCTGTAAATGTTTTTAACAATGATAAACTCTATGTTCATTTAAATTATTTTTTATCTTATTTACAATGAAGCAATTATTAATTACTTAAATTAAATATTTCTTTAGTTACCGCTTCTTATTCAATCAAAAACATGACTCACTTAAAAAACCCACACAACTTGGATTTCCTACTTTTTTGCTGAAAATTGACCTAATGTTTATATGAACTTTATTGTGGCTCTTGAGATCTGCTATCACTCCTATATAAAATTTCCTTTGCTTACGGAACGTCCTCTATATATATATATATATATATATATATATATATATATAATTATTTAAATTGGGAATTAGGTCATTTATTTATTCATATAAATATTTATATAATAAAGCTAAAACGTTTGTGTGACTGCTCTCAGTTAAGGAAAGAACAACTCTTCGGTTTTGAAAAATTTATTTTTCTTTAAATACCTTCTTTATTGAGGATAGATTTAGGCTTTCTAAAATCGCGCGACGTTAATCACATAAGTTAATATTAAAGTGGCAGGCACCAATTTGTGTTTTTTTTTATTTTTCTGAGATATTTATTGTTTGATATTGTTAATGAGCATTGTTAACATATCATAAAGTATTGCTTAATTCTTATAAAAAATAAATAATTATTTAATATTACGTTTTTAATGATTTTATGCCATTAAGTCATAGATAGTTTAATGTTGTTAAGCCTAAAGCTTGCAAAGATATTTATCGATATAAAAAGAACCTACTATGAATTCATCATTTGGCACAAACCCTTTGTGTATCAAATATACTTTCAGTAAGTGCACAATGTTCTGATTTATTAGAGGGGTACTTCATCAAAGTACTTAGAGATTTGGATTTGTGAGATATTATTTAATAACTTTTTAGAATAAAAATACGACACCTATGTCAGCTGCTCAATTAACATTAATTTTTAATATTGGTAAATGGTTGAATGTCTTGGATAATGAAGAGAAGAATAGTTGGGGTGGTTAGTCAAAAAAGAAGGCAAAAATAAATGATAATATTTATTTTTATATATGCCGACGTTTCGACCTGAAGTTCAGGCCTTCATCACGGCTAAGAAAATAACCAGATAACAAGGTATGAGAAACATAAGTGGTGATGGTAAAAAAAAATATTAAAAAAAAATAAATAAAAAAAATATATATATAAATAAATAAATATAAATAAATAAAAATAAATTTTTCTTAGCCCTGATGAAGACCTGAACTTCAGGTCGAAACGTCGGCATATGTAAAAATAAATATATCATTTATTTTTGCCTTCTTTTTTGATTGACCACCCCAACTATTCTTCTCAACATTAATTTTTGGTTGTTCTTAATATAATTTGTAAAGCCATCTATATTATCTCCAACTTACATACATATTAGGTATTACATTAATGTTTAACCTATCTAAATACAACTAGATTAGACGATCAATTGATTTATCACTACTAGATAAGAGTATTGCGGCACTCTGTTTTAAATTCAGTCCAACTCTTAAAGTAAATTTGATAACTACATTACACCTACCCACCTTCAGATATATATTTACTCTGGTCGACAAAATTACAGCATTACATTATTACAGCAACTCGAAATTAATTTAAGTAATTTATTTTAATATAATATAGTTTAGGATTTCAGACAATAGTTAATAATACATTTATTTATGGAAAAATAATATTTAGTACTATATATACTGCAGGTCTAATAAAAGTTGTCTGAGAGACAAGTTTTTTCTCTTCCTCCGACTACTGAACAGCCCTGATGAAGACCTAAAACACAGATCGAAATGTAGGCAAACAATATATAAAATTTATATATATATTATGTGTGTCACTTTTGTATTCTCCTACAAAGTTTTCCTTAAATTAGATACATACTTATTTTTATTAAAAATAATTAAGCCCTAATATAACTTACTGATAATTGTATTGGTTCATCAGATCCTCGAAAACTGCCTAAAAATTCTTTCCTTAAATAAATATAAATAAATAATATTTCTTTCTCATCTTTTCAACATTTTTTAAATGTTTTAATAAATTTATAATACATTTTCACAAAATGGATAACGATTCTCTTGATTAGTTTTAGCTTGTAATCGTACTTAAAACTATAATTACAATCGCTATAGTTCCTATAGTTACAATCATAATCACGTGACTATAGTTGCGCAAGAGGTTAACGCTAATTCTAAGAGGGTCCTTTTTGATTAACCTAAATCCTGGTACGAATTTTTAACACGTGTGTGCTTTTCACCAGTAGAGTATATACTCTACTGATGAGTAACCTGACCGGTGCATTTGCATCAGTAGCTGACATGCTTAAGGAAATTTCTTTAAACTTTTTGTTCAAAAAAAAAAAAATATATTGATGTTGTATTTTAATTGGATTTATCTTTTAAAACAACTTCTCACCTAAACTAAGACGCATCTAAAACATTCATCTAAATTAAAAAAGAATGTAAATTTGAGAATCATTTTGTTGCACCTGAAACCAGAAGTGCCCATCCCCGCAAGGTCGATGGCGCAAGATTCTCTCCCCATTCCAAGAATATGATATTTCTCTATTCTACTTAATAACTGTGCAAAAGAAAGTAAAATTTAAAAGATTGTATATCATATACGTAATTACACTTACTGCAATCCGCTATCTGTTTTTCGCTTGTTCTTAGTTTGGAACTTTTAATTCCAAAAATTCATGTCCCTGCCGAAATGTACCCGCTTCAAAAATTTTGATGGCTCAACTTGCGCTATGAACCCACTTCTGGGCACCCCTGTCTGACGCTGATACTGATTTAAAATGTTCCCATAGCTGATAGGGATGAGAACAAGGATGTAATTATGTGGAATAAAGTGTTGAATTCATTTGAAAACATATATTGACAAAAATTACCTTTTACTTATTATAAAACTAATATATTACGTTTTTCAACTTAAATTTATCGGTACATGCTGGACACTCTCAAGAACTTCTTTTTGGGAATAGAAAAACCAATTTTTGCTTAGTATTAAATCCACATCATTAACATTTTTTTAAATAAAAGAGTATTGGATAGTCCCATTTTTAAGACCGATTATATTATGTATATATCGCTTTGAATTAATTGAAAAGGCAAAAGGCTCAATATAAGGATCCAATAGCTCTGGCATCCTATTCCTGAATAATAAAATAAATTATTATCTATTTCCTATTCCTTTATAAATTTCCTATTCCTTTTTACAAAATAAGTTAAAAAGAGATAAAACATAATCTAAAAACAATAAAACCCAAGAAAAAAATAAAACAAAAACTTTAAATCGAAGTAGTTAACGAGAAAAGGAAAATCTAAGGTATGGTTTCCTTGCTGGTATGTGGTTGTTCCTGAGACACTAAGTGGACACTCCTAATTTAACATTCATTATATCTGTTTTGATTTGAGGCAATATTATAGCAAAACAGACAAATATAGAAGGAGAGAATTTAGAAACCAAAACTTTATGAAATAGAGTTCGAGGAGGTTCTGAAATCTTACCTATCCCATTTTTCCTAATCCCATTAAACAAATAAGACAAGAAAATAGCAAATCTAAGCTATGGTGTTCTTATCACGGGCGGATCTACGGGGGGGAGGGGCTTTCGGGCTGAAGCCCCTCTCTCCCTCCCCCCCAAAAAGGTAAAATATAGCCATGTTTTATCGTAAAAAGTATTAAAAAAGTATCTCTTAAAGTATTAATGTTTATGTAATTACATTTAAAAGGGCTTTAGGAATCACTTAGACACCATTTCATATAGGTAGTTAGTTTCTTTCTTTTTTTCCAAAGTAATTATCGTTATTTTTATGAAGAAAACAGCTTTCGGGCTGAAGCCCCCCCCCCAAAATTAAATCCTGGATCCGCTAGTGGTTCTTATTGATAGATGGTTGTTCTAAGTGGACTGTGATGAACCTTCCTAATTTGACACTCTTCATATCGGTTACGGTTTCAGGCAAGACTAAAAGCAAAGAAAATATTGCTTAATTTTAGAACAGAGATCATAGGATTTCTCGTATGAGAAAAGGTAAAAAATAGGCTAATGGGATTTAAAGAAATTAGCTGTAGAAAAGTCGTGTTGAAGTTACAAATTGTTTCAAGTAGATATCTAACTATTGTATAATTACATACCCCTAAAATGGAAGATTCAACAGAAACTAAATAAATATTCTACTAAGAATAAGAGCTTGTAGTTTCAAGTTTTAAGAGAAAAAAATAATTGGATTGTGATTGGGGGTTCGGCAAAGGGAATAAAGGTGACAATCGACTAATAAATTTCTGCTTTAGTGAACGTTTACAGGTTGGTAATTTGTTTTTTAGGAAAAGAGCAAAGGCGACTATTTTCTCATAAAACAAATCATTTTAGTTAAAAATTTAGCAGTTATAAAGAAGTTTAATTCCAATTTAAATTAAAGGCTGCCAATAGCAGAAATGTATATTGAAAAGTGCAAGAAAAAGAGGCATTTCAAAGCGAAAAAGAAAACTATTATTCATATACTATTCTTTTATATTATTATTCTTATGTATAAAATAAATGAAACAGGAAAATTCGGTACAGATCATCTGCGCTTTCCCATTTTTCATTCTCGAGGTAGTTCCTTCTATATTCTCTTCTTCTCCGATCTCATCAAAATCAGCGTCATTCCAATATTCTACTGGGTTCACGGGATACATATCGTCTCCACTGAATTGCTGACTGCAATACTTACTTCAGACCTCCAGAATGGCTTTATCCTCAGTGACAACCTCCCCATGCTTATTCTTCACATATCTTATAGCTTTGCTTTTGCGTCCTTCTTAAAGTTTTAATTTTCCTCCAGAATTCCTTCCCATGATCTTTGTTCAGTTTGCCTCCGAATTTTTCTATGGTTTTTGTTTTGCTCTTCTTACAGCTTCCTTTATTCTATTTCTATTCTATGACATATATCCGCCATTTAACTTATGATTTGGCTTGCCAGAAGTCCTTCCACGCAATTGTATTTACCTAGATTAGCGGCTTCAGCTCTTCACTCCACCAAAAAATTCGCTTTCCCTAAGAAATTATCCTCTTTACCCCACGTATTAGAGTAGCTGACTGCGGGATACTACCTTTTATAAAACTCCACAGCTCATCTAGGCTTGCGTCTGCGTCCTTGGAGCCTTTTCCTCAATTCCTCTCTCTTGTGAGGGTCCTGCAGCTTCTTTGTAGAAACAAAGAAGCTGCATACTTGAAAGACAAAGAAGATAGAGATCCTCTCAAATGCTTTTGCCTTTACCTTGCTTTCTGTTATCATCAGTACCAGCCACAAGAAGCACGTGGTCTCTTCCTATCTCCGCATCTCTAATCACCTTCACATCAGCAATGTTTCCTGATGTCACAGATATAAATAAAATAGTCTATGACACTATTGGTGTTCCTCTCAGTGGTTTAGAAAGTGATTTTATGAATCCATTTTGTGCGGAAAAAAGGAGTTCCCGATATTCTAACAGCATATAGTTCTCAATAAAGAACTCAATTAGATGCTGTACACTTTCATTCTTAATACGCTCTCCAATTAGTGGGCCCATCACTCCATATTCCCTCAAGGGGTCAATTATTTTATTAATAGGCCTAAAATAGTTTACATCGTATAATTTTAAATTTGTTATGATTCCCAGCGTGGCGGGCAGTATTTTAGCCCTGCATCCCCGGGACTCAGCCCGCATTGCCTTGCCTTAAGGTCATAATACTGGAAGTATAAAAATATGAAGTTTTGCGCACGGCTAATACTAAAGCAATAAATCTTTTATTTACAGCAGAGTTGTTACGCAGACATTAGTAATTTTTCAAAGCTGCAAACAGCCTTGTCTGACCGGCAGCTTGTCTGACCGGCAGGATAGAATGAAAAATAAAATAAGTTCCTAACAGGGTTTAAAATATGCTGTTACTTATAAAATATTATTGTGAACTATGCTGAAAATAAAAAGCCTTTCGAATCAGCAAACTGGAAGCCAGTCTCATAGAATTTTTATTTTGCCAGTACTTGGCATTTACAATTTGTAACCAACTTGACTATTATTCAATGCATGGTTTCTCTATAATTGTTTAGCTCTTTGTTTTATCAGGAGAACGTTGTGACAGTGATTGGATGTTATCAAACAAGTTAATTTCAAATGAAATTTTGATGGAACTTTTAAAACAAAGAGGAATAGTTTTGGTATTATTTCTGTATTAATATACATTTTCTTGTTATTATAAAATGGATGCCCACATTTTTCTTGAGGATGATTTTCATTCTCCAACTACATGTTCTTCTCCAGATATGACATCTGGAGATGATCTATCTGATTCTTCAACCAATGTACCTGCGAGTATTGTAAATGCTGCTAATTACATTACTGTTAAAGAAGTAAGTTTATGGATTTTAAACTTATTTATATCGGTTGTTACATTCCTTATTGGTACTGGTGTAAAGAACTAGTTTGGTGAATAAGCCTTCTGGTCTTTTTTGCCAACCACTGATGGCTACATATAGGTTCATTTCAAGTACTAATCTGATTAGAAGTGTAAAGATTCATTTCTCTTGGCCACGGAGAAATAAATATTATGTCACCCAGATGGGAGTTCAACATACAGAATTTTGAATTGGGACTCTTGCCTCAACATACTGAGCCGTCATATCCTTTTTCTTCAATTATTTAAAATTAAGGGCAGTAGTATTATATCTTATTAACATGAATTTTAGAAAATATGTTATATCATATCATTTCATGATTGACTGATGGATTTTACTATAAGTATGATTATTAGATTTAATTGGGATAAAATATATACGTTATTATTATCAATCCAAAGGTAACTATTTGGTTCAAATAATTGTTGAAGTACTCTGCAATTTTTTTATTGTGCCTATTAGCTTGCCTTACTTCTTAAAAATTAATTATTGAAAGGGCTTTTTAGCATACTTTTAGCGAATAGTGTAACCTTAATCACAGTTTCTGTTTAAAATTGTCTACATATTTCTTAATACTAAAGTGACATTTTATTTATTGAGTAGCGATGTCAGCTTAGTTAAATTATGTTTCTTACATATCATGTTTCTGAAATTATTTATTTGGTTTTTAATTTAGGGTTGTCAGTCTGCATTCACTACAGAAGAACTAAATCTTGCAATCAACCAATGCAAGAAATTAGTACTTGAGAGTGAAGAGTGTTCCGAGGAAAGGAAATGGTTTGTTAGACGGTTAATTGAATTAAGGCATAGGCTTCAGCAGGCTAAAGAGAGTGAGGAAATAAAAACTATCCAGGTTCTGGAAGAGTCATTTGTGAAGTTAGGTCATCATTTTATATTTGAGTACTTACCTACATCAGCTACAAAAAAATATTGTGATAGGTGTTGTGGAACAATTTGGAATGTTGTGCAGTCATATTACCAGTGCACCGGTAAGTTTCTTTTATTATGACTGAATACCATGGTTATTCAATATTTAATATTGAATATTTTCATGCTTATAGGTTGAGGCATTATGTTTCGTTTTAAAATTAAGCTTTTAAATCCCCATTACATTAGAGCCCTCCTTAAAAATTTAAGCTTGGGGAGTATAAGAACAATTTTCATATTTGTTACACAATGATTTTTTTTATTTCTTTATTTTAGTTTGCCAAATATTACTGCAGAAATAAGAAAGTAACAACAACAGTGATATAAAAATTGTAATTTATATATTTAAGGGTATTTAAACAAATAAAAATATCCACAATGTAAGGTAAATAATTATAGCATCTATAATTTTTACTTTCACTTCCCCTTGGTTTAAAAATACTTATTTCTGCTAAGAAGAGGTTAGTAAGTGAAATTCGTGTGATGCACGTACTAGATTTTTCCTTAAAATGAGTGAGTGGGATGAGCTAATACAGGGTAAGACGAGAATGACAGAGGGACAATTAATGTATCATTCAATGGCTCAATAAGATAAGATAACTTTACACTCGGCTCTACCAATAAACATGTAAAGTGTACCTGTATGAATCAAAGAAAAACCAAGTTAATCGTACTGAATATATAAGGCAAAGCTGAGAGTAACATGGAAACAACCTATGTTTTTTCACTGCCAGGTATAAACAACTTCACACTTTTTGTGCCAACCAACAATCATATATATAACTAGGGTCAACCAAGTTAATCATGTGAAAGGAGAAAAGATGGTGAGTAGGAGAGAGAAAAGAGGGTTGAATAAGGGTGCATTTACAGGTTAGAGGAACTTGGAACAGGAGCTCTCAGTTCTTGATGATCTCACATGATCATCAAGAGTTACTTTCACAGTTCTTTGCATGGGAAGTGAAATTTGTCCGAGTTTACTTTCTGAGAGCAATTCTCTGTATCAACTCTCATGAGTTCGCTTCAGACTATTTACATAATCACACGGTCAATAACTTAAAAAATAAAAACAGACATCATGAGTGGCCATGCATATATATATATATATATATATATATATATATATATATATATATATATATATATATATAGAATAGAATAGAAAATAGAACTTTATTCTGGGACTAAATCCCCTTAGAATAACAAAATAAAACCATATATATATATATATATAGACTGTAACCTTGAATAGTATTTTATTAGTTACGGTGACGTTTCGACCCAATTTCTAGGAAATGATCACCAATACTCATGAAATGGGTCGGCCAGGTAACATGCATTAACCAATATTTTTTTAAATTTGATTATTGAAACTGGCCACTATAGATTTTTTAATAGCCCTAAATTTAGACTCCTCCTTATAAAATAGTTCAAAATTTAAAGCTTACTGTGCTAGTGACAGCACTAGTTTTACTAAATCATGTTACTACAAATTTTATTAAATAATGAGTGGGAAATATACTTCGATATTTAGGGATTGATCATGAGAAAACAAATATTTAACTGCTTTCAGATCTGATTTGACCCTTTTATTGTCCTGTGACATAAGTATGACTGAAGTTTTGAAATGATTCATACATAAATAACCTCTAGGAGTTCTATAGTGGCACTAAAAAAACAACAAAAAGTCTCGAAGAGGAATAGCTTAAATGGCCAGCTCACAGTGCAAAATGGCCACTGGAAATAAATAAATACATTTCAGATGTATGTAGCACATATGCACAACCGTCAAAATTTTCGAAAGAAAGGTGATAAATTTAATACTGAGTTTGTAAATATAAAATGATTTCAAACGAATAGCATTAATATAAAAAATGAATTCACTTGCTCTCAAGTAGAAATTAATTTTCAAGAAAATGAAAAACATTAAATAAAAAATATTAACTTGTGCCCAAGTTGAGAATTATTTAACCCTTTGACTGCGGGAGCTCATTCCTGTGTTTCTAGCAGATGCTGCATCCTGAAATCCAAAGACGTCCAGAAAACGAAATTTTTGTTTGCATAAATTTGTTTTAAATGCAATTTGGAGGCACCCTGTAAGATCATAGCTATCAAAAATGCATTTTAACGATTTTATTAAACTTACATTAAGGGATGAGGAACGTCTTAAGGTTTTTGAAAATAAAGTATTGTATAGAATATTCGGGTGTAGAAGGACGAGTTAACCGGAGAGTTCAGATGGTTACACAACGCTGAATTGTGTGAACTCAATTAACTCTGGTTAATATAATTCAGGTGATTACATCGCGGTGAATCAAATGGGCTTGTAAAATTGTTGGACTTAGTAACAAAAGAATTCCTAAAAGGTTAATATTTGCTGTACCTGGTAAACGTCCGAGGGGTATACCGAAGCGAAGGTGGGAAGATTGCGTTAAAGCCGATCTGAAGGAACTGGGTTTGGATGGCGAACTGAAGAGGGAGTTGTGTAATAAGCGATTGGTGGTGTTGGCATTCGCCTAACTTCGGGTTCGCTAAGCCTTTTATTATTAAATGTATTGTAACATCTCACTTATATTTCTTTTAAATCCCCGCCCACACTCCCTGGCCCGGGAAAATCCCGTGTAGCCTTAACGGCGAGGAAGGGAAGGACCAAAAACAAAAAAAAATCTCACTTATATTTTACAAATAATAATAAGCTCACTTCTTACCGTTGGTGTACTTCCTAAATAAATAAGAGGTTGTTATAATAATAAACAAAATTAAAAGAGTATTAATATATTTATTTATCTCAGGTGTGGGTTACTGACAATTAGATCAACTCAGACAAACTATTATTATTTATACTAAAATTAAACACTGACCTTAAAATAAAGTCAAGTATGAATTGGCAAGCTAACCTTTTTTCTATAAATATGGTTTCTTTCTTCGTTTCACTAAATTCATTTGTCTTCTAACATTTTCTTATGTTCTCCCAAACACATCTTCCAAAATGCTAACACTATCATCTACTCAACTCTCTGAGATATCCTCTCTCTTGTGATTCCAAACAATAACTTCTAAAATTGTAATCTATAACTGCGTTTTACACACTGGAGCCGGGACCCCTTCTCCTATCTTCTCTTCACTGCAGTCACACAACTGCTGCCAATACAAAAACATTTGTCCCTCTCCTCTTTGGGATTTTCCTTCTTGGGAAACTACAGAACAACCATTTTCTTTTCCCTCCACTAGTAGAACTAGATTAGCTTGCCTTTTAATTGTTCAACATTCATTTATTAAACCCTTTTTACTCACTTCCCATAAAGGTGTACATTACATTATATATATATATATATATATATTTTTTTTTTTTTTTTTTTTTTTTCCCGTTGGCATTACAGACCATGTAAATCTTTTGCCGCCTTACAAGCATGCTCCATATTTGCCTGAAAGACAATAAAAGCATAAATATAAAAAATATATATTAACTTGCTCCCAAGTAGGAATTTAAAATATGTAAAAACATGACCTTCCAAACATTCTTGGTGGTCCATTAACTCCTGAGAGTGTATCTGCCTGATTGATCTGGGTAAGATAATTACCATAAATGTTTCCTTATCAATCTGTTAAGACAGATTTTTTTAAACAAAATGTTTATAAAATCAAGACCAACTTCATTGGTTACTAGAAACTTCTTCAATCACCTACCCCAGGTGTTCACAACTTAGAGCTCGCGGGCAGCACTGTGCCTGTGTGACTTCACTTGTGCTCACCTTTCTCTAAGCTTTATCAGCGATCATCCTGGCCACAATTTTACTGTTGTCTGCAGCATATCGAAAATTTTTAAAGAAAATATTGAATATTTATTTCGATAAATATGCAGTAATTAATTGAACATATATATTATATACCTATGTTATAACCCATACTGCTTCTTATTAATTTTAATTCTAATTTATAAATCATCAAATCACCTTTACCCTTCATCATAAACCTATGTCCTCCTGTCCTGCAGTATCCTTTAACAATACCCCACTTATCGCTGTTGAACAAATTCGATACCTTGGATTCCTCCTCTTAGACAAACGTCTAACTTGGAATCCTCATACCAGACTGAAACGACAAGAAACAGCTTGACGTTTCCAGCACTTACTAGACATATGCTCTAAGCTCCCAGTCAATTACAAAAGACTCATATACATGACTACAATAAGACCTATTTGAACTTATGGAGTTGAGCTCTGGAGCTCCACTAAGCCATTGAATTCCTTTCGTATCCAATCCTTACAATCCAAAATCCTTCGTAAAATCCTCTCTGCTCCTTACATTGTCACAAATAAAATCATCCATAATGACCTTAATGTTCCTTATGTTTCTGACCTGGCTCTATCCAGATACCTATCCTTCCATAACAAACTTCAGAACCATCCAAACACTCTCGTTTCTAACCTTGCTTCCTCTTCGATCCCTGACAACCCTCCGAGTCGTCTGAAAAGAAGATGGCCTCGAGATCTCCTTTTGTGAATACATTTTTAGAGTGCTACCTGTGGGTAGTTTCTCAACAAGTGATTTCGTGTTATTATATTCTTTTGTTCACATTTACTGAATGTATTTTTATTTGTAATACAGTTGTAAATATCATCAATAAAAAAAAAAATAATAAAAAATTTAAACATGTGTTTTTATAATCTATTATAAAAACCCTTTATAAACTTCATATCCTTCATTAAACTTTGTTTTATCACCTTTTGTGTAGAAATGTGTTTCATTAGTTTTGGAAACAATAAAGATGTTTGTTACTGCAGATCTATGTTTCTTTTTATTAATGAACTTCACATTTATTATTTAAATATTATAAACAGTAATCTATCCGTAATTCACTAGGAATAAAAATATGGTGCCTGACAACTAAAACATAACCTATAAGTGTGCCCGTTGCTGAAAAAAGATTGGGAACCCTGACCTACCGATTCACTTCCACATCACTATTAGAAACCTTGGTGTAATTTTTAATCAACACCCTTTTGTTTTTTTCAAATAACCCCTTACCTCGCCATTTCTGGCATAATGGAGGGGTTGTTCTATACAATTTAATACAAACAAACCTCTAGAACGATCTAAGATTCTATCTTCCGCAAAACCCATCAACTCCGGAATAATTTTTCTCCTCCATTTTGTAATTCTTTTTTGCCTCTTCTTCTCTTCTGTTATAGTTTTTACTCTTTTTCCCTTACATGGTTTTATTCAACTGGTTATTCTCTGAATCATGCTTCTGTGGACCTGGTTTTAGGTTTCCATTGCTATATGGCTTTAGTTATTTAATGAGGACTGTTTTACATGAGTATATGTAAAACAGTGCTGGTAGAGTGAGTAACTGTCTATGTCTTGCAGTAATGATTTATAGTGCCTCCCAATCAAAATGTAATTGTAGCTTTATCAGATGATATGCAGCGTGGGTCTAAAGAGCCTTATTTCACCATGTCTTGTGGTGCATCAAAATTGATCAGTCTCATCTCATTGCGATTGCTTGTCTCTTAATTTTTGTTCTAAATACATCTTTTCCAACTAAACATAATATTCAATAGACATAGAAATATATGTTTATTCAGTTATATTAGACCATTTGAATATTTTGAAGCATGTGTATCATTTTATAGGAGCTCAAGCTTATGTCTAAATTTTCATTTTTGTCATAAATTAAGATTACATTTCATTAAGTCACATTTCTTTTATTAATTTTAGACTGCCAGTATAAATGTCATATAAAGTGTGCTGAATCACTATTTCGGGTTTGTGCACACTTGGTGATGTCAGAAAATCCAAATTATATAGAAAAAATTTGTCCAGAAGTAGGTCTTGATACTCAAGGATATAGATGTTATGAGTGCAGCTGCAGAATTAACTATAGTGGGTAACTCAGTTTTGAATTTATTTTATGATAATGTTAGATGAAATTTGATTTATTTATTATTTATTTATTTATTTATTTATTTCCAGATGTACCTAAAGGCTATTATCCATATTTATTCTCAGGTAATTATTTTTACTTAATTTCTTAAATGTATATATATGTTGAATATTTATGAGTTAAGCCATTGAATAATAAATTAGTGAAGATTTTGAATAGTTTGTCTTTTCATTTAAATTGCATTTCATTTTTAAATTCCTTGACTTAATAATAAAATAATTACACAGGGTGGGGTGTTTCAGGGTTTAATATCCTAACTGAATATATAAATTAAGAATCCTAAAACAAGGAAAAAAAGTTCCCATAAAGGTTTGCCCATTAATGCTTTGCTTAGGAGATATTCACGTCTTAAGATTTTCATTCTTATGAATTTTTTATGTTATAATAAATAAATTAATATGTATTCTGACTACTTTATTAATCAAATGTGAACATTAGAGTTTATATTAAATGTTATTCAATGTGATAATCTTGAGCATTAAGACAGGCTTGGCATCTTTCTTCCTCTGCAGCAGTGGCCGAATGGCAGCACTGGATATGTGTTATGGTTTCGTAAATTTCAATTGCTCTTCATTTGTAAAGAACTAAGGTCATTGACCGGGCTTGTATAGACTTTTTTTACTTTCACTTAACTATTATATGTATTATATAGTAAGGGAAAGTATTATGAAATTTTTTAAATCTAGTTTTCAACAGAAATACACGTTTTGAGGTCGCCTGAGTCCAAATAACCAAGTCCCACAAAATTGTCTGTCTGTGTGAAGAGTCCAACTCAAAAATGAAAAGTCGTACAAAACTAGAAATACTTATTTAAGTTAATTATGTGCTTGAGATGTTACAGTAACTTTTCCCTTAAAATAGGCAAACTGGAAATGCTACTTTATATCATTGCTTTTACAATTTTCTCAAAAACAGCTCTTAATGATTTTGATTAAACTCAGTGTATTAACACATAATTAAGTGTTCTTTAATATTATTCAGGTCTTATCTCCATGTCGTTTAACAGGGTTAAATGCCCAATGTTCAAAATTTCTTTCTCTTAAGTACATTTAATTTGGTTTATTCTAAATAATTAACTGTCTCTTATTGTTAGCAGTTGAGAAAAAAGGCTTAATATAACTTTTGGAAGAATTTGATGATTGAATAAAGGAGAAAAAACGGAAAAATGTTTATTTAGGTCAAAAATAAATCTCTGGAAGTAATAGCCAGGAGTTATACGTGTAATATATCGTTGGGAAGCGGAGAATTTTAGAAAAACCAAAAATCTAATTTAGAAAGTTGTAGAAGGTAATGGAGAGTGACGAAAAAATTATAAATAATAATTTCTGAAAACTAATATTATTTAATGGAAATCATATGTCTCCAAGGTAATTAAATGAAATTTCCCAACTAAACATAAACTTTTAAAATTATTGTTAAGTTTGAAAAAAAGTATATAAAATCCATCGAATGACATTGTTTAAAAATCTATAGCTGCCAACTTTTACGTTGAAAATTCCCCCTCAATCTGCTTATCACAGTTTCTAAGGTTATCACTTAGAACAATTTTTCACACAGCTTTATGGAGGAATAAGTTGAAGATTATGGCTGATACTTCATCTTTCTGTCTTACGCATCTGTTGAACATGATTCTGCAACTGGTTCGATTTCCAATGAAGATTCTTGCTTGCGTTTGAACCATTGTCATTTTAATCAAATTAATCAACTTATAAGGAAAACCTTTGAAAAAACTTAATCCTACAAACTCCTTCAAAAGCCTGTCTATAGTCTACAAAAAGCAAGTGGACATCAGTATTGTGCTTGTTGCATTTCACTAGAATGATCTGGTCCGTAGTCCCTCTATTAGGACGGAAACCACACTGGTAATCTGTAAGGATCCTTTCAGGGTAGATCTTAAGCTTTTCCACTAGTAGTCTTGACAGGATTTTTTATGCTACATTCAAGAGCGTAATTCCTCTATAGTATTGGCATTGGGTCTTATCCCCTTTTTCAAAGATAGGCAAGATCAATCCAGAGTACCAACTGGTAGGCATTTTCTGATTTGTCCATGTGCTCTAAATTAAATAAGTGAGTTGATTCCAGAGTAGATGATCGCAGTGTTAAAATTGGAGTTCAACTGAAAGGCTCATATTTAACCTAAGTATATACCTGAGGTGCTACAGGAACTTTTTTGCAAGAAACGGCAAACTGTTGATGGCACTTTATATCTTTGATTTTACAATTTTCTCTAAAGTGGGTCTAATGATTTTTATTAAACTCATATCAATACAAAATTAAGTGGTCTTCAATATTAGGCAGGTATTATTCTCATTTAAATAGCCTTATAGGGCTTAAATGCCAAATTTTAGAAATTTCTATTTCCAAAGTACATTTTGTTACTTTTCAGTACTATTTTTTTCAAGGGCTATTATTGTACTTATATACGGTGTCTTCAAGGATTGAATTGCACTTATAATTTTTCTATTTATTTAGGTAATTACAACGTTTTGAGCCATTTAGCTCATTTTCAAGCTATTAAAAGTCTGTAACATATCTAAATAATTTCCATACTATATAATTCTATTGTCATTTATGGTGAGTCCTATATTATAAAAATATTGTCCTTTGCATATTATTCACATTTAATCGGATTATAGTTAATCCATTTTTAACAATTTTAGGAGGAGGGACTACTTGGTATCAGGTTTTTTGATTTAACCTACATTTGATTAAATGTGAATAAAATGCAAAGGACAGTGTTGTTTTGTGTGGTGTTGGACTCAAAATAAATGACAATAGAATTATATAATATGGAAATTGGTTAGATATGTATGTATAGCTTGAAAATGAGCCAATGGGCTCGAAATGTATTTATCGAAATAAATGAAAAAAATGCACGGGCAATTCTATTCTTGAAACGGTGTATATAAGTACCTTTAATTTTGTTTTTTTTAAATAATTAATTGTTTCGCATTGTAACTAATAATAAAACTGTTACAATTTAATAGAATATTTATTATTTAATATAATAGAATTTTATAATTAATTTGAGGAGAAATGTGGGCTAGCCAGATGGGATAAAGAACCTACGAAGGCACTTTATTCAGAATAAAGTGAAAACAAAAAGCAGAGCTCCGAAGTTATTTTTGGTTTACACTAAATATCTCCTTTTTAAAGAGACATAGATAAAACATGGTTATATTCAAACTTAAATAGCTTAAAATTATCTAACATTTTTGTACATAACATATTTTTCTAAACTTAACAACTTTTTTTTCTAAACAAACAGATTTTTTAAAAGTTAATGTTATTGAAATTACATACCTTTGTGTTACGCTTTGTTATAAAGCCTGTTCGATTTCTTCATAATAGTGCTCTTTCAATTTTGAACAAAGGAATTCTGCAACTCCATTTTGAACCTTTTCCAGAGAATTTGGAGGTTTTCCTTGAATATAATGAGTCATTGACTGGAACGGTAGATGGTAGTCGTAAGATGTTTTGAAAAGTACGTTACATGGTGAACCAGACCCCCTACCATGCACTCTCCCCTTCCCCCCCACATTCCAATCCAGTTTTAATAAAAAGCCAATTATGACAAAATTTAGCCAAATGCTTAATCTCAGTGAGTGAAAAGCTAAATCAAATCAAAGTCATTGACAACTAAAAAAATGTTTTTAATAAAATTTTTTAAAAAGATGTCTTAGAATAAAGTTCTTTTAAAGGTAACAAGAAAAACAGTAATTAGTATGACCGATTTCAATAAAATAAATGGAAAGCAGTAAAAATAAAATTATAAGGATTTTTTCAAATTTCAAAACATCAATTTCTTTTTAGCGATTTGTATTCAAGTTATTAAGTTTAGAAAAATATGTTTCCTATAAAAGCTGAAATAAATTGTGTGTGCTTTAATATTTAATTTAAAAAGTTGATCCACGTTTCTTATAAAAACAGATAATTAGTTAAAAACAAAAAACTATGCACGTTTTTGTGAATTTTCAAAAGTTTTCTCATTTTGGGAGCTCGATAGTTCGCTTCCTGTTGGGTTTAGAAAAAAATGTTATGTTCAAAAATGTTAGATAATTTTAAGCTGTTAATCTTAAGATTTAATGTAACCATTTTTTATCTATGTCGCTTTAAAAAGATGATATTTAGTATAAGCCAATAAAAGTTCAAAATTTCAAGGGTTTTTGGAGAACTGCAGTGAACCCACAGAGCTTTCAAGGGTGTTTCAAGAATTTTTTATATTCACTACATACCTAACAATATAAAAAAGAAATTTTAATCACCCAACCTTTTGCAAACTAGAACCCTTTTTTTGTGGTTATTTGACTGGGCTGTGTTTATTTACTTCATATTACTTTTAAGATACTGATGTTGCTGAGGCTAGGCTATGTAACTATAATGGCCACCACTATTGCCCTTCTTGCCATTGGAATACACCAGCTATTATTCCAGCAAGAGTCATGTTGAATTGGGATTTTGAACCTCAAAAAGTTTCTAGAGCTTCATACCAATTGATACGCATCACCAAATCTCGCCCTCTCATTACTCTGGATGAAAATCTGTACAATTTTGTTGACGAGTTAGCAACTATTAAGGTGAATTTAATTATATGCTATTGAAATAATTGTTTCATTATTTTAATTGTTAATTTGTGGATTTTCAATAATTTATTGTAAAAGAAAAAACGAGAGGAATTAGGGCTTATGAAGCAATACATTGCTACTTGCCGCCCATCATTAGAAAGTGGACTTGTCATGAGAGAGCTGGAATGGAGGAAGCATTTGATACATAGCACAACTGTCTTTTCTCTTGATGACCTGTGTGATATATATAGTGGAACTTTTCTTTCAAAAATTGAGGCAATGCAAGAAGTTTTAAAGAAACATATAAAAGAAGATTGTACAGTAAGTATAGAACTTTCTAGTATATGTCTTAATTTTTGGATTTAGATATCATAAATGGAGATTACATTAAAATATTATATTTATTTTTTATCCCCTGTTCAAAATCTCTTTCATTTAAGGTACTATTTTGCTGGTACTACCCACCAGAGCGACTGCTGGAAGTTGAGTTCGGTTTTGGTGGAATAGAAAGAAGCATGTTTCTTATATTATATTTCGTTAGCACTGATTGGTAATCCAAATATGACGTCATTTCCAGACTGTTCCTTTCTGACCATTCCAGAAGCAGTGAAGCTGTTAGAAGTTCAATGGTTCTAGGTTATGTTATCAAATCACAGAAGAGTTTTCATGATAACAAGTCATTTTGCTACTTTTCATTTCTTTTAATTTTCATCAAGCTAAACTAAATTAAATGAAAAATTATTGAAAATCTTAACAAAACTATAGCAAATTATTTTTTATCATATGTCTATTTTAGGCCAAAGGTCACCAAAAAAACACAGTTTTTTTATCTCCTTTATGCTTTATTCAACGTTTCGGCTTCAGGAGCCATTTTCAAGAACCTGCAAAACATGCAACGCGCCATAAAATATTTAAATTTATCATTGCGATATGATTCGTCCTAATTCATTCTTTTATTTCAAAGAATGTCGTTTTCCGTTTCTCTATTTGCAGACGGTATCAAGAAATTATTGTTCTTCAATAGGGCATTCATACAGGACCGTCTGCAAACGTTGAATAAAGCATACAGGAGATAAAAAAACTGTGTTTTTTTGGTGACCTTTGCCCTAAAATAGACATATGATAAATTATGAGAAAATGGCACCTAACCCGAAGGATGTGACTAGAAAATTATTTTTGTTGGCTTGAAATCTTTTATAGAGGGATTCAAATATACATAAATCCAACTAACATTAAATAAATATAACGGAAAAAAATAATCTCAAATAAATACTCAAATCCGAACATTGTAATGAAAATTGAATAACATTTAATTGAAAAATAATTAATTATAGCACTAGATTAATGAACATCACATAAAAATCAAACTCTTCTGCATGACGTTTATGAATCTAGAATTAGAATTACTTAATATTTAATTATTTAAGTAACGACGATTTGTAAATTAAGATGAATGTATGTATGTGCATCTGTTTATATAGTGATAAATAAAAATAGCAGCGGTAAAATATAAAGAATAATTACGGCCTCTAATAGCACTGCCTAACCTTATTGCGACCTCTCATAATAAAAAGGTTCCTCACCTATGGTATAGACCTAATCTAATCTCATTATTCAACCGCTATGGTGAGTAGTTTCAGCGAAATACACAAGCATAAAAGGTTGGCCGTAAGAAATGCAGCTGCTATGGGCATTACCAGCAAAATAGTACCTTTAGGAAGAATAAACTAAATTTAAAAAGTAATTGAAATCAATAAATAATTTTTTAAAAAATAAGAAGAAATTTTACCTCTTCAAAATTTTCAAGAGAATCAAGTATCTTTAATTTCGTTTATTTGAAATTATTAACTTTCTCTCATAGTTAGTATTAAAAAAAAGAAAAGTATAATCATAAACTATGAAGTAATTTCATGTAGTGTTTAATTTCATGAAGTAATTAAATTATGAAAAAAAAAAACAACAGAATTCGGCCCTTAGGATGGATAGGGTTTTTCAATATGCTTTTTTGAAAAACTTTGTTTTCAATAGACAACTGTTTCGGTTTTAGTTATTTTTTAAATTTAATAATTTATATTACTTAATGTTAAAAATATAGTTCGTTTTTATGCCCGTTTTAAGTAATTTATTTTAGACTCCCGCCTAAAATTTTGAGCTCTCACTGTTTTTCGACTGAGGCATCATATCGTAATAAAATTATCTATATATTTTGTTACTAATCCAAGCACTATATTTATATCCTTTAAAAATTTAAGAATTGAGATTGGGGTTCGTCACTTCTATACAAAATTCACTTTCATTTGATAATTCATTCATCAAAATCCATTGATCCTAAAAGCTGGAGAAGGACTTCATACTATATGGTGTGTAAAAGATTTCCTTTTTTTAAAATTTATAAATGCCCATGGTTCACTTAACAAGTAATTAAATTGAATCCAATTTGGTATTAAAGGTAGTCAGCAGAGAAATACTTTAATTATTCATCATGTTTAGTGTTATATAAGATTATGTAATTGATATGTTTTAATTTTCTAGGTGTGTAAAGGAAGAGGATATATCTGTGAATTATGTGATAATGATGAGGTGATATTTGGATTTGATAAAAACACATACACATGTCCAAAATGTGAGAATGTTTGCCATAAGACTTGTTGGAATGACAAGAAAACTTGTAAAAAATGCCTGCGTCGAGAACAAAAGTTGGAAGTTGAATAAAATAAAAAATTTTGTATATATAAAAAAATATATTTTTCATGTATATGTGTTTCTCTCTACGGAAAACTGAATTTCTTTTTAGAAAATTTTAAATCACAAATATTTAAAATGATTCAAATAAAAGAACACAATCATGCTTGGCTGCCTTCAATAATCAGTTTGGTGATTTAGTAATGACAGTTTAAAACAATAACTGATTATATTGGATATAGATTGCACAAGATGTTTAACATCAAAAGTAGAATAATGCAGTTGTAAAACTTGAGAAGGATACGAATTATCCAATGTTAGATTGGGTGCATACTTAAGGTAGTCACATACTCTGCAGTATCTTAGAGAAATATAAAAATAGTATTGGGAGCGAGTAGTTACATGACCGGTAGGGAGTTCTATTGTGAATGGTGGTTGATTTGAAGAGTGTTATGGCATGTTAAAATCAATATTGCTGTGTAATTGAAAAATAGGTTCAAAACTGTAAATGGGAACAGCTTGCTTGCCTTTTGGTGTCTCAAAAATCTCCAAAAAAGAAGATTTTTTCAATTATTGCAAGTACAAGAAAGGACCCATCATAAACTGGCTGAAGCGTTGGTCTTGTTTCGAAGTATTGTATTTAATAAATATGTGTGGTATCTTCTAAACACTGGTGCACAAATATTTTCCAGTTAGTAGATTGATTGATGTATATACACACTTACAGTCTTCCATCTCACTTTTTATAGAGTTAAACTAACACATTGTAAATAAATAAATAAATTAATATAAAGCATGTAAGAAGTAATTTTATTTTTAAATGTGAAATGTTCGACATCTTTCCTTACAGGGTATCGCTATACAAAATGTGTTTTATTTCTGGTCATCTCCCCTAAATAATATAAAGAATTCATAAATTTTTTCTATTAAGTGATGTTTAAAATATTTACAGATTTCTTATGGTGTTTTTTAATTAATTTCATGAACTTAGTTTTTTCTATATATATTTTTTTAAAATATTTCTTCCTCTACATACTGCCTATGTTTAACTTCATCCCTTTCAATATTGTCAAAGACCAAATATCTGTAGATCATTGCATTAAAAAAGATGAAGGAGGCCCACAGCCTTGTAAGTGTTACCACGAACAGCAAGTCGCGATTATGCAATTAACTCCAGCAGAAATTATTAAAACATTATTTGTTTTAGCTATTTTTAAAGTGGTTTGTGTAGCGATTCTTAATATTTTAAATACTGCCGAAAAAAGGGTCCACCTGATACGAATATAGATGTTTAGAATTTTAAAGAAAAATAGTTGCAGAACTGCGAGAAGAAACAGTTATAAAATAATTTCGAACTTAACTACAAAATTATAGAAGTATAGTGAAGTAAGCGGTTTCTAGAAGGTTCTAAAAAAAATATTTTGGATAATCTGTATTTAAACCGGTTATTTCCGGATTTAAATTTTTCTTGTCCATACATTTTTACAAAATCGATAATTATAAAAATATACCGATCTTTACTGAAACAGGCATAAAACAATTGTTTGTTTATATATTTCGGGTTTAATAGGGCGTAAAACAGCCAGTTCAACACCCATTGATTTATTGAACTTGGTTGGTTATCCAGCAATCTGAAGCTGATATAGCAATAAGCGAAAGATGTTCCCAGAATGGGCTAGCCCGAGTCCAGAAGGCGCTTAAGTCTCACACTTCAGATGTTGGGGATACAGGGATTGATCGTAAATTGAAAAATCGGACAATTATTAACAAAGATACAGTCCATTAGTTTTGGTATACTTAATAATGTCTTCCAGTTTACAGATATTGCATTTAGGAGTAGAATAGTCGACTACATTTTTTTCCCCCTGGCTTTTATATTAACTTTATTATTTCTTAAATACATTTGGTTGTTCTTACATTTTATTTTTTTAAATAATTTAGAATATCCTATGATCGGTGCATTATTTTTTCTTTATTACTTTTATTATCTTTTCAGTCAACGTTTAAAAATAAGTCCTAGCAAAGCAATTTGTACAAATTGTGTGATCTATTGTGTTTAATGGAATATTGTAGTTGACTGAGGAAAAGATAATTCCTTTCTTACATAATACATGGAACTACTTATTTCCATATTGTTTTGCTATTTCTTCACTAAACGAAATTTTCTGGGAATTTTTCTTATGGGCCTACTAGTATATACTTAATAGTCTTGTTTTCACTTTGATATTTAAGGAGATAATCATAACATGGCGAGCTGATTGAACTTCAATATAAATAAACTCAATCACAAATAAGACTTTTTACTTTCACTTACCTATATATGTAATATATAGTAAGGATAAAGGAAATACATGTTTTGAAGTCCCCTGAGTCCAAATAACCAAATCTCACAAAATGGTCTGTGCATGTATGTGAACAGCCTATCTTAAAAACGGAAAATCGCACGAAACTGAAATTGCATATTCAAGGTTTTTATATACACCGGATGTTACAGCAACTTTTTTGTCAAAATCGGCAAACCGGAAGTGGTACTTTATATCATCGATTAAACACATATTTACGATTTTGTCAAAAACGGCTCTCACGATTTCGATTAAACTCATACTAATGTACAATTAAGTGTTTTCTAAGATAAAGTATGTTTTATCCTCATTGATTTTCTCCAACAGGGCGTAAATGTCGATTTATCAAAAATGTCTTCCTTTAAAGGACCTTCAATTTTGTTTGTTTTAAAAAAAAAATTATTTCAAAATTCACCAAATAAATAAAAATCTGATGCGCGCAACACACAACTTTCACTTACCGCTCAACTTTAAGTAGAAATTATGACAGTGCCTTGATTAGTATTTTAAATACTTTTTTCAAACTTAACAATATTTTAAAAGTTTACATTTAGTTAGTAAATTTCATGTAATTTCCTTGAAAACATGTGATTTACATTAAATATTATTAGTTTTCTAAAATTATTATTATAATTATTATTATTCTAAATTATTATTATAATTTGTTGCCACTCTCCGTTACGTTCTACAGCTTTCTATATTAAATATCGTTTTTTCTAAAATTCTCCGCTTTCCAACGATATATTATACGTATACCATTTTTTTTTTTTGGTACCTTTTTTGACTTTAAGACTTCTAAAAGCAAGTCCTATTTTGCCAGTAAAATATTTTAATTGTCATAGTAAGATGAAATTACCCTGGATTTATATTAGTTATTTATAGTTAGATGATCACTGAAAGTAACTTATATAGAACTTGGATATTAGATACTAGATATTAGATATTATGGAAACTAGAAAGACTAATAGTTGAAAACTGAGATGAATTAGAATTACAATTAACTTAGAATAATAGGCGACTTTTATTATATGACTGCTCTTATGTCATTCATGAACTTTATCAAGTCAGGGGTGTAATCTTTATTCATGGACCAAAGAAACTTAGCTCCATCATCCGTAGTTAGCGATCCTAAATTACTTCTTCGCTTTTCGAATCTTTTGCGCTTGAAGGCAATGTGTCTTGGATCCTCCAAGCATTGGCATGTTGGGCATACGCATACCTTCTGAATGGTATTTCCGTAGATTCATTTTCGGACTGGATAAGCATTATTATTTTTTTCTCCTTATTAGCAAATTCTTTCAAAAATTATATTTAGCATGTTCATTATTAACTCTTAATAATGAGAGATAGTTAATTATTTAATATAAACCATATTAAAGGTACTTTAGAGGAAGACGCATATGAACAATGGGCATTTAAGCCCTGTAAAGTGACATCAATGGGGATAAGACCTAAATGATATTAAATACCACTTAATTATACAATGATACACCGAGTTTAATAAAAATCGTTAGAGCAGATTTTGAGAAAATTGTAAACATGTGTTTCAGCTTTGATATAAAGTGGCACTTCCGGTTAGCCGATTTTAAGGAAAAAGTTACTGTCACATCTAAGGCATATACCTTTCTTAAATATGTAATGTCAGATTTGTACTACTTTTCGTTTTTGAGCTATACTGCTAACATACATACACACACACAGACCATTTTTCGGGACTTGGTTATTTGGACTCAGGATACCCCAAATTATTTCCGTTGAAAACTCAGTTTAAAAAAAATTCACGATCGCAGTACTTTTACTTACGTATATATGTAATATATAATAAGGGTAAGTAAAACATATCGTTTTAAGAAAGTAAATTATCCACTGGTACTTGGAGACACAGTTATCTAGTACCGTTGTGTGTTTGTTCGAACAATAATTTTTTATTGAATATTTATTATATAATATAATAATTTTTTACTTTCACTTACGTATATATAGTAAGTTTAAGTATTGCGATCGAGAAAATTTTTGAATCTGAGTTTTCAACGGAAATAGACGTTTTGAGGTACTCTGAGTCGAAATGACCACGTCCCGAAAAATGGTCTGTGTGTTTGTATGTTAGCAGTCTAGCTCAAAAACGAAAAGTCCTACGAAACTGATATTACATATTTAAGATAGGTATATGCCTTAGATGTGACGGAAACTTTTTCCTTAAAATCGGCTAACCGGAAGTGCCACTTTATATCAACGCTGAAACACATTTTCACAATTTTCTCAAAAACGGCTCTGACGATTTTGATTAAACTCGGTGTATCATTGTATAATTAAGTGGTCTTTAACATCAATTAGGTCTTATCCCCATTTATCTCACTTTACAGGGCTTAAATGCCCAATGTTCATATACGTCTTCCTCTAAAGTACCTTAAATATGGTTTATTTTAAAAAGTTAATCATTTCACATTATTCAAAGTAATGAAAAAAATGCTAAATATAACTTTTGAAAGAATTTGATAAGTTAATAAAGGAGAAAAAAAAAATGAAATGCAGAAAAACCTGCGTTGCTATAGACTGTAGCGCCTAAACGGATGTACCGATTTCAATGAAACTTCGCTAAAGTCATTTTCTCGACACCCTTTAAATTTATCTATATAACATACTTCAACGAAAAGAAGCTGGAAAAAAGTTACGAGCGATGGTAAAATTAAATTCCGAATAACTCAAAAAGTATACACTTTTTTGTGAATATTTTATGGTTTTTTAAAAGTTTATGGAATTTCCTAAAAAAAAACAAAAAAAAAATCGTTAAGATCGGACAACTAGGAGGAAAGATATGGTCTCTAGTTTTTTTCCCTGAAGAGGCGAAAATTTGGATAAATTTAAAATATACTATTTTAATTGTTGAGACAAAAAAAACTTTTTTTTTACAGATATTTAATAAAGTATCTTTCCTAAGAACATTTTTCATAAGAAATAAGTACCTAAATTTATACCTTTATTCTCAGTTCTATATTTCAACACTGCAATCACCACCTCCGGAATCAACTTGCTCATATTCTGCATAGATAACTTTTTCAACTAAAAATATCACTAAAAATATTGAAATTGGAGTTAGTCATTCTGAAGTTTATAAAAGCAAAGAAAGTTGTGTGGTTTATAAAAGCAGATGGAGTTACTAGATTTTTATTGCCTGTCGTCGATATATTAAATAGACATTTTGTAATTATAATGGTCTTAATGAATTGTTATCTGTAAGCTTTAAGCTTTAGCTCCGTTTAAAATGCACTTCAAAAAAATTTATTATAGCTCAGCATTGCCAGAAAATAATTTCTATTCATAGTAGATCGGTAAGTGAAAGTTGTGTGTTGCGCGCACCAGATTTTTTGTATTCATTTATTTCCACAATTTTTTTAGTTCGCCGAAGATCGTTGTTTTGTATTATTTTAGGACCGTCATGAAACATTT